AAGCATAGTGGGGGTTACTCATTGTGTCAATCTTATTATATTGAGAAGGTGCTTCTTAAATTCAATCATTTGAAGTTTAAAGAAGCAAATACCCCATATGATTCTAGTGTTAAATTACTAGAGAATGCAGGCAGAGCAGTGGCACAGCTTGATTATGCTAGTGCGATCGGTAGCTTAATGTATGCTATGCATTGTACAAGACCCGACATAGCATTTACGGTTTGCAAAATATCTAGGTTCATGAGTAACCCGGGTATCGAACATTGGAATGCAATTGGAAGAGTACTTGGTTATCTTAAAAGAACCATTAACTTGGGTTTGTCATATAATGACTATCCGACCGTACTTGAAGGGTACTCGGATGCAAGTTGGATAACAAGTGCAAGTGATAATAAATCTACATCTGGGTGGATTTTTACAATTGCAGGAGGAGCCGTCTCTTGGGCTTCTAAGAAACAAACGTGCATAACTCACTCAACGATAGAGAGTGAGTTTATAGCACTTGCCGCTGCAGGCAAAGAAGCGGAATGACTTAGAAATCTATTGTTTGATATTGAGTTGTGGCCACAACCGATGCCATCCATTTCTTTGTACTGCGATAGTGAAGTTACTTTGTCTAGAGCTTATAACAAAGTTTATAATGGAAAATTTAGACATATTAGCTTGAGACATGAATATGTTAAACAATTAATAACGGATGGTGTTATTAATATTGTTTATGTTAGGAGAAACAAGAACCTAGCGGATCCTTTGACAAAAGGTCTTTCAAGAGACTTAATCAAAGAAACATCTAGTGGAATGGGACTGAAACCTTTCTTTGAAAGAGTCACCAATGATGGTAACCCAACTATGTAATAGTTGTACTGTTATTCCATAGTTAAATGGGTAAGAACAAATTATTGTTATGTGACCAGGTTAGCGCCGAACTTTAATTAGTCCTTTCCAAGATATCGGTGCAAAAATAACTACGTAGTTGAGGTTGAGTTTATACTCTTAATGGAGTTCGAGTTTCATAGTAGCTAGAGATATAATTCGAATCTTCACCTAAGTGAACATAAGGAATGGTGTCGTTCATAACAAGACCTTGGTTTAGTCTTGTAAATGTTCATGAATCCAAGATAGAGCACAAGGCCGGAATAGTGCTAAACGATTGGAACAATTTTTAAATCTAGGATAACACATGTGATATATTTTCGGTATTTGCTTAAGAGACAAAGTTTAATGCAAAGCACACTATTGTCTTGTGAATACTTTAAAATATAGTCACTAAGTGAAGATTAAAATCGAAAGATACTTTCATGTATGTATGTGTTTATCGTTGTTAATTCTGAAGAAATATTACAATCTAGTGGGGGATTGTTAAAGAGATTGTAATATATCTCTCAGTTTCGATATCACAAAAAATTGACCTAAAACACATTCGGGAAGAACAGGCGCGCATAAGCGCGCGCTGCAGCGCGCCTCTTGGGCGCTGCAGCTTGCACAAAACAGACCTCTCGGGTTTGTTTTGCAAAGCCCGAGCGCTGCAGCGTGAATGTCATCCGCTGCAGCGCAAATTGCTACCGGAAAACGTGTTTTCGTGTGTTTTAGTAATCTGAAAAGGTCTTAAACCATTGCATCCATTTGTGATATGTTTTCTCACATATCTGAGTACTTATTAACAATAGAAATAACTATTATTATAAGTGCATTAGCATATAAAAGATAACCTTCAAATTGGAAAATGTATCTTTATGTGAAATGTTTTAACGTTTAAAGAGGATGGATGCATCTCTATCTTTAATTAATGCATTCAGAAAATACATATATTATTATTGTTCTGAAACTCAATATTTTTACTGGATATTGTGTTCAAGGGTTTGTTGTATCTTTGGGGTAATTTGTCATTAAAACTCATAAGCAAACTTTGAGAAGTGAGGGCAAATAAAGCCTTAAAGAAAAGTATTTCTATACGCCTCAAACCCTCTTCTTGCTTTCTATATTCTTTTCAACCTCTCAAATCCGAATTTTTCTTACATAAGTAAAGACCCCTACATACATATCTCTCGTCTTATTTTTGAAACTACTCGGTTTGTGGAAGCAAAACGTACAAAAAGCAACATGCAATGTTACTTCTAATCTTCGAGCTCAATGATCTTCACAACTGATGCATCACCAACTTTCTGGCAAACAACGACACGATCATGTGACTTGATTAAACCGGAGGCCTTGCCATGATCCAGAGCAACCTTTAGAATGGACTCGTTCGTCTCATTCCTAGACTCGGCCTGCAAATACAAGCATATTGTAGTTTAGTGTTAATTCCTGTAAGTAAATCAAGGAAAAGCTCAGGGAATGACAAATGAGGGTACATATTCTGCACCTTACAGGCCCCGCAGAAGCTTATATATATATATATATATATATATATATATACACACACACACACACACGTGACTAAGATGTACTTGCATCTATGATATACCAAATTGAAAAGTTTATGATGGTGTGATATCGTGTTTATCTGAGCAGTGCTCTGTTAATATTTTACGGTTTGTTCTTTTGCCCCAATTTGAGTTTTAACTCAAGTTAATGTTCTTTTACAAAATTGAGTTTGAGTTTGAACTTGAGTTTGAAACTAAAATCTGAGTTTAAGCCCCCTTTCAACTTGAGTTCCTAAACTCAAACTCAAGTTAAATAAACATTATTTCTTCTATATTTAAAAATGTCATAACTTTTTTGTTTCAATTCCGATTGAGAGAGTTTTTTCCTATGCATTCACAACGAAGAGACGAACAAAACCCCATCTATATACCCTATTAAAATTTTTCATCATTTTTTTAGGCTCTTTACACGGGATTCACTTGACGAGATAACTGTTTGTTTCCTCTTAAAAGAAGATTGAAACAAGTTCCTCACTTGTATCACTATGAAATAACTTGTGTCAAGCTAACCATTTACCAAATGCATAATGCAACTAGAAATATCTCAAAGTACAATGAATTAGATCTTACAGGATGTCGAGGATCTGCAAGCATGGGGAAAAGGCTCCTGACTATAAGTGATTGCCTCGCCTGCCAAAAATTCATCAAAATAAGCGAAGAGCAATAATATTAATAATCTTTCATTCTTGTATTGGACAATGACGCAATGCAACCCATTTAACACAACAAGAAGATAATAGTTAAAATTCTATTTTCCTTCCCAGATATAAATCTCGGTAACCACCAGCACCGTCCCCAATTGTTTTTCCAAATCTCAAGGCAAATCAAAATGAATAATATTGCAAACATGAACGTCTTCTCTTTAATGGTTAAAGTTTCTAGGGGGCCATTAACTTAAATATTAATGCTACAACTAAGTGGGGTATGAGAGATTTGGCCAGACTTTCCTCCAAAATTTTTGCAGGCACTGGCTACTTTTGAACGTCAAAACCATATGCAAAGGTTAATTATCCCGGAATTTTTCTCTCAAACCCATAAACCTGCAAGGTTAATCTATCCACTCCCCTTCTTTTGCAGCTAAATTGGATCAGTAAACTTTGCTTCTGTACAAGATAGTTAATTTTGCAGGATATTTAGCACTCCACATTTCTACCAAAACCAAAACCAGGCAAAATAAACCTCTAAAGGAACAACAACAAACCTCAAAAGCGCCAGTGAAAGTCCATCGAAGTTGGTTTGTCTTTAGCCGGGGGATAACAACAGAAATTACAGGCATTGTTGGCCTGTACTTTGCAATCAACCTACAACAATACAAAAACAAAAGAAGGAATATAATCTTAGCAAATATCTAAACAATAATTTAAAAGGAAAAAAAAAAAAGAAAAATCTAAACAATATGGATGAAAATTTCAAGATATCTGGTGACATTACAAGCCATCAAATGAACTATTAAACTAAAGCCCAATGTAAGTCAAACTCTAAGGACACCTTACTTAAAAACATATGCAACTATATAATTGTGCATACAGAGAACAAGAAGAAGAGAAAGAACCTTGCGGCTCTTCCAGATGAAGTGAAGCAAATAATTACAGAGGCCTTGACCATAATTGCTGCACGTACCTACAATGCAAGAAACACAATTATAAACACAGAATAAGAAGTCATCTTATATATATATATATATATATATATATATTTCTTCCCCCGCCCCCCCCGGGAAAAAAGAAAAGTAAAGGGAGAAAGAAAGAAGAATAAGTCGTCCTTTGCAAGATACACCAGCTAACCTATGCTCTTTCAGGCCAATATTATAAATCTTGAGAACAACTAGAAACAAAGTTTAAAAGGAAAATAGAAGCGTACTGCTGAGGATGCAATAGATTCCAAATGGGTCATTGGTTCACCAACATATTTCGCAGTCTTCTTGAAATAAAGATCTTGATTGAAAACCTTCTCCGCCTACAGACAGCATTCAGATGAGCATCCATAGACAGAATGCAAGGTTAGGGAACGGCTGGATTGGGATAGAAAAAGAAAACATCATAAACAATGGAACAAATTATGGTCAACAGACATTCCAGGTAACATAAGCTTAAATATGCAAGTACGAAAATGAGAGAGAGAAGAAAAATGTATTGGTTGTTTCTCGGTTAACAGCATGTGCTTGTATGATCAACTACATGCAACCAGCAAGATGATTAAAACTTAAAGTAGTATGTACACAGAAATATCAAATTCTGTAATATGAAATTTTTAGTATTGAACAGATCCAGAAGTTACTGAATGACATGTTAAAAGGAAAAAGATGAAAAGTCACAATAGCAAGAAGGAAAAAGCAATATTCCAACGTGAAAGGACACAGACAGCATCAAGGTATGACAATTGTTTTTTTTTTTTTTTGGAAACTAAGCAGAAAATTAGACTGCATGGCGACCTTTTTCTTTCTTTTGAATAATTTCAAAGGGATCTTACTATTTAAGGAAATTGCTTTAAAATTAGTCATAGATGGAATAATCTATATCTTAGAATTGCAGGCATTTGGGGATGTCTAACTTTTCACTGACATACACAATGAAGTCCAAACATTAGGCAGTTCGCCTAAAAGATTGTGACATAAACCTTTCTGGAGAAATTATATCTATATGATTAAACGGTAGTCTGAACCACAAGAAAGGAGAAAATAGGAATGTTTCTCTACAAGAACCTTTTACCTCAGCACAAATCTTTCCAACGGTGGAAATGGTCTCAACAGGGTATAGTCCCCGTAGAGTCTCTGCACCTAGAAGAATTGCATCACTTCCTGAAACAAGAGTAAGGATAAAACTATTATATGACAATTGAGATTGGCATTTGATATTCAATATTAGTAACAACTTTTTGCTCCAGCCTCATCAACATATATATTCTTAACGGTACTAAACACAGGAGAAAAAAAATCTGTTATCCAGGAGGCAATCAAACTATGATATACATCACAAAGCAAAGAGAAACATTCATGTCTGAAGACTAGATTACCATCCAATACTGCATTGGCAACGTCAGTGGCTTCAGCACGAGTGGGCCTCAGATTTTCGGTCATACTGTCCACAACACGAGTCACCACTGCTGGCTTTCCAGCCATATTGCACTTGTAGACAGCAGCCTTTTGGAATAAAAACACCTGCAATAATAACAAGATAATTTTTGGTACTTTCAAGCAAGATTTTACAAAGAAATGTCTAACTAAACTGAAAATCCACATTGGGGAAATGAGCATAAACGAACATGTGAGATTTCTAATAATTTACTGTAAATATATCATATATATTATTCAGGACCAGAGTGAAACTGAGAAACCAATCTATTGATCTATGAAACCTTTTCTTTTCTAATAAAAATTGTTCATATTCATATCAAGTATGGTAAATGTGTGCATGACATCATACATCCCATCCGTGCAGGTACCACTTGTACTATTCACTTAAGCCATGAAAATAATACTTGCAATCTTGAAATAACTCTATCTGATTGTGAAGTAATGCAGCAGGTTATTCATCATCATACAGTGATATAATGACTTAAGAAAATCGTGTCCAACACAATGTTTGTTGTTTCTAAGATATAAAAGCATTCAATTTGAAGGTATAAAAAGCTGACCTTCTCCGGTGGCAGATCTATTCCCAAATTTCCACGAGAGAGAATGATCCCATCTGCTTCTTGCAGAATCTCGTCAAAATGAGTTAATCCCTAGAAAAGTAAATGAGAAAAGTAATTTTTATTTTTTAGAATCACGTGCGGAAAATTTATGATTTCATAATGGAAAAGAAATGATGAGTCATATTTGTATACATCATGCCTTCAACCATTTCTTACCACCTAGATTACATGGAACCTACACCCCCATTTTTGCACGTTCGTGAGAATTAAATGTCTCTCCAATTCACGGAAAAGCTTTGGAAATAGAAAAATGCAACACTTAACGCACATATCAAGTCTATGCAATACGTCCAGTATCACCACTTCAGTTGACAGAGACAGGGCCCACATATGGCACTCATGTGGGGCCACTGTACCTAGGTTGTAAGGTAACTCTAACAGAAAGAAAATGAGAAATAGGAATAGAATACTTTTAAATGAAACTCACCTCCGTGTTTTCAATCTTTGCGAAAATTTGAGTTTGGGTGAGGTCACCTAACTTGGAAATAAACTCACGAGCCTATAAAACAGACAGAACAGCCACTAATTAAAGTGAGAAGAACAACTGGATGCATTGAAAGCTGAAACTAACTACAGACTGAAGGAAGTAGGGAATGGAGATGAAAAGAAGTTGGGTCTCATTTGGTTCACGCGCTTCAAACCATGATTCTGATTCTAATTCTGCTACAGTACTTTTCTCTCACAAAAAATAAGAATAAAAAAAGTTCCTGCCAACGGGTTCTCTCACAAAATTTGAATTTAAAATCAAAATCACTGACTTAAACATGTGAAGCAAACAAGCCAATATCTTTTTTTTTAATGGATTATACACTACTTGAAAGAAGAAAAAAACGACCAAGTAGGAACTCTCCTCACTTGACGAACATCTTCAGCATGCCGCGTATATGACAATGACAGGAAGTCTATATTGTTATGAACACCCCATGTGCTTATGACCTGAAAATTGCCATCGCAAAAGTGAAATTGAGAGGAATTCAAACGTCATTTGTGCATTAAAAAATAAAAATAAAAAGACACGCCAGAGTGAAAACGTTTAGGGAATAGGTTCTCCCTAATCATTTTTCTTGCATTCGCAGGTGTATAATGCAAACACCAACTCTTCAAAAAAAAAAAAAAAGTTCCTTGCTTTCTTGTAACATTTTGCATCTGGATTTTTGTGCCAGATTTTTTATAGGAAAACAAACCTACCTTCTTATCATTATCCGTGAGTGTTGGAAGATCAATACGGATTTGAGAAACATGCAAAGTAAACAATGATCCAGCCAAGGTAGCAGAGTTCTTTATCAAACAAACCACATCTTCACCATGCACCTCAGTTACCTGCATCAGAGAAGAGAAACTCAAAAATTGGATGCAAGTGTTTTTATTCCAATTTCTCTCATATACTCTCTAAAGCAAATGGAAGGAAAGGAAAAGGAGTAAGGAGGCAATCCCTTGGCCTAACCTTCAACGGAAGTTCATTATCCAATAAAATAAATAAATAAATAAATCTACAGAAGTTGAAGGTACAGAATAATCAAAGCAATTTTTAGGCCAAAAAGGCAATCCATAGGCAACATAATGATCTAACTTACTAGAGGTTCTTATTATGCTCCTAGGAAAAAGAGGCCACAAGAGTATGAATCACATTTGATACTTGCTTTAGGCTCGGCAAGGTCTACTCCAATCACTCAACTTTGCATCATTGATCCGAAATATGATATTGGCATCACTCTTTTGTATAATTGAGTTCCTAAATATGAGTCTTTACAAGCTTACTAAAAATTGAAAGGCAAGTGATGAATCTAGATATTCTTACCTCATTCTAGACCAGCAAATAAAGAACATACATATCATATGGGAAGTAGTTGATTTCTATGCCTTACTTTTGTATGGAGTTAAAAAACAATCACCAACTTAATAATTGAACTCTCTTTTCCATAATTTCCTTACCTCCAACCACACTGATGTGGTTTCACTCCCTGTAAAAAGGTATTGCCCAATGAAAATAGCGTCCCCCTTTTTCACTGCCTGAAACGATAAATTCCAATGCGAATCACGTCAGTAGTTCAAACAAACATGTAGCTTCACTTGGACATAAAATGAATTTAGAGAGAGAGAGAGAACTGAGAATCAACTAAATAAAGTAGACAGATTCCATCCCTGAAGGATAGATAATTACAAAATAGGGTAGCTAGTTCAAAAATTTTCCATCTGTATTACAGCACCGTAGACAAGTAAAAGAAACAGAAATGTTAAAGGCCGACACTAAAATAAAATTATAAAGCCTTGAAACTATATTCATATATATTCTTCATTCTTCATCAAGAAATTATGTTAACTCAGCAGAATAATAGAAGCGATTAATCCATCCAACATATTTGAACTCAATGGAGACTCTAAATAAATGAAAGTACATAAAACGGATAAAAGTAAATTAATATGAGACCCACATCAAAATAGTTATAAACTATTCTCGGTGATGGAACAAAATGGTGGAAGCACGATATGTGACGAGCATATGTACTTAAACAGGACACCAGAACTTCAACATGAAAAAAATTTTTTTTATGAACCTCAAGACCAAGTAGCTACTAGGGCAAACCACATCCTGACTTAACTAATTTCCTAAGTGTGAAAGTTTCCTTCATGGCACCCCTACATATCCTGACAGCGATTGGGGTCAGGCTTAGCATTTTTCTTTCCTTCATAGTCTATGGGATAAGAATGGAGCTATAATTGTGTGGAACATGTCCTACATAATGACTCAAAAGATGTCCAGAACAAGAAATTAAAGAGTAAAATCACACAAACCCAACCTTCGCAAGCCCTGTAAAATTAATGGGTAAAAGATTTGAGGTGGCCTCTTTTTCTTGATCTGGTGTAAGGATAACCAAACTGTCCGCCTGAAGTGAAATGGGATTATCAGTTTTATTAACTACCTGCAACTCCGGGCCCACTGTGTCTAGCATAACCTGAAAAACCAGATTAATGTAAAAAACAAAAGATCAGATGTGGGTGCATATTTTGGTGACTTTGAAAGACATGATATTCAGAAAGTAAGCAACAACAACCAAAAAAAAAAAAAAGACAGAGAGAGAGAAAGAAAGAAAGAAAACCCTATGCCCAAAAGTAATTGACCAATTACTTACATACTTAAACACACGGAAAGAGGAAAAAGGATAAAATGAGTATAAGAGGAAATCACAGCATATAAACAACAGTCTTACTGCACAAAGCTTCTTGGTACTCTTGATTGCCGTCTTCAAGTTGTCCAATGTCTCTTGGTGGTATTCATTATCGCCCCATGAAAAATCAATCCTTGCCACTAACATTTAGAGAAAAATAAGGGAGCAGAAAGACAGAAAAAATAACAATTAAGAACCAGTGAAACAATTAAGAACTAGTGTACTCAAAGACAGAAAGCTTCTCAGATTCAATTCTGCCAAAGATAGTAATCTGAGCACAACGAAAGTATTGAAATAACAAGCTAGAAATCATTATCATAGTTTGTTCAGTTCCAGAGAACATGAAAACCAAAACAAATATTGTGGAGTACCTTGCTTTTTATTTGGATACTACACAACAGGAAAGTATATAAACTTCTTCTCAACAGCCTATATATAGTTAAAAAAGCAAGGAAAAAAATTATCTGTATATCTTGAACCCGCATAACGGCATGAGAGTCGAGCACATGACAGCAAAAAATACACACACACACACACACATATATAAATATATTTTATTGCCGTTTTACTAAACTCTCATGGAGAAGGAATGAGTGAACTACAATGACTGACAAAAATAGAGAATATCGGGTGCTTAATACCAGACAATCCTGCCTTAAGGCAATCGGAAATGATCTCGACAGACCGCGATTTCGAACCGAGTGTGCCAACTATCTTCGTCATTGCAGGATATACTGTCTGCAGAATCAATCCAGTTAACGCAAGAGATTATCAGCCGTGAATTCAAACTCCTATACAAAATTTGTTAACTGCGAGAGAAAAAAAAAAGCTAGAAAATCTAATAGCCATGTTCTGTTGCAAGGAAATTTGAAAATGAAAAAGAAAAAACAAATAACGGAAAATAACAAATTCTAACCTGTATTGGTTCATTTGGACCAAAAATTTTAACAAAAAGCACAATTCTTGCCAGTAAAATGAAAAGGGACTGAAATTATCAAATTTTCACCGGAAGAAAAATCATATCAACTCAACATTATTCCACAATCCAAACATTTTCTCTTCAAATCCCCTCCCTTTTCCCGCGTTTTTTTCCCACCAACCAACCACCGCAAATCTCAGAAACCAAAGCAAGATCGCGAAATCAAAAAGAGGAGGTACATAACAGTAAAAAAAAAAAAAATGATTGTCCAGAAACAAACTTAAATCGAAGTGCGAGAAAGAGAGAGTGAAAGGAACTAACGCGCTTAGAAGGCTCCAAAATGGAAGCCATGCGTATAGGCTCCTCGAGAAGCAAGTGATTCCCGTGCATTTTTTCCAAGACAAACTAAGAGATTCACAGAGATCCGATTCAGGAATCGCGTAGGATTTTCTCAGCTCTTCTTCTCTTATTGGGTCTTTCTTGTCAAGTATTTGGTAGACTGAAAAGAGACAGGTTTCCACTGGATCTAAATAAGAAAGAGAGAGAGAGAGAGAGAGAGAAATAGTGAAGTGAATTGTCCGTACACGCGTCAAATGGAAGAGAAGGCAATGCACAGGAAAACCACTCCTAATTCGGTGGGAAGGAGATGCTTACAGTTACAGTTGCAGACAGTAACCGCTTTCTGTGTCGGTCACTCTGTGCTTTTGATGACTAAAGTCAATATGACCACTCCGCAAACTAACGTCTGCTTACTTTAGGAATCGGACATGGTGGGCTTACCTTTTTTTTTTTTTTTTTTTTTTTTGAGCAATACGGTGGGCACACCTTTTTCTTTTGAGAAAATTGGTAAACTCATGATACATCGTTCTGATAAATTTTGACAAAAGAGACCGGAAGAAAATAGAAAATAAGGATTTAGATCTTTTTTTTTATAACAAAAAAATTTTCACGTGTATTTTATGTGTTAAAAAATAGACTCTATTTTAATTTATGTGTACATTTTAATTTATGTGTATATAGATTGTTTAAAAAATATTTTCCTCTCTCAAAACTGAACAAACTCTTCCCTCTTCTCTCTTACCGACCGATCCTTTCATTTTTTCTTTCTTTTCCCTTTTCTTTTCTTTCTTTTCTTTTTTTTTCTTTTTCCTTCCTCGTGGCTGCCTAGACCCCCTTTCCTTTCTCTCCTCTAGTTCTCACGGCATCTCTCTCTTCTTTTTGTCCTTCGACGCCGGCCACTTATGGTATCTCTGTCTCCCGCCGGGCCACTTCCCCTCCGGGATCTCTGTCTCCCGCCGGCCCACTTCCCCTCTGGGATCTCTGTCTCCCGCCGGCCTTCTTTCTCCGGCCATTTTTCTCTCTCTCTCCCTCGCCGACCGGTCCCTCCCAAACACCGACCGACCACCCCAACGCCGACCGGCCTTCCCCAAACGTCGACCGACCCTCACGAACGCCGACCGACCACCCCGAACGTCGACCGACCCTCCAGAACTCCGACCCGACCCTCTCAAACGCCGACCCCGTAAGTTGATATAAAATGTTGGTTTGCTTGTTGTAAAATGTATACAAATTGTTGTTTTGCTTGTAAAATGTATTCAACAGGTTATTTAAGTACAATGGTTATTCAACCAGTTCAAACTTACTGCAGTAATATCTGCAGCAACAGAGTTTTGGAATGCAACCCTTCGGGGTGCAATGCAAGCGCTGCAGCGCTCAAAACGAGGTTATTTTGACGTTGCAATGTTTTCATTATTGGCATTGCAATGTTTTTACACTTATTATATTCAACAGGTTATTTTGGCTTTGGAGAAACTTATAATTATGGGGAAATGCTTCCTAAATTTTTAGACCATGATGTTTTTTTTTTTTGAAAGCTTCGAACCAGTCCCGAAGATTGGAGAAACATTTGATTTATAAAAGAGAAAAAAAATTGGTAAAAAATGGAAATACCAAGAACATACCAAAACAGACCAAGAACCGACCGAACAGACCAAGAACCGATCGACCATACTAATAACCGACCGAACAAACCAAGAACATGCTAAAAACCAACTGACCAGACCAAGAACAGACCAATAGCCAACCGAACAGACTAAGAACATACCAAGAACCGACCGACCAAACCAAGAACAGACCATTAACCGACTGAACAGACCAAGAATCGACCGACCAGACCATTAACCGACCGAACAGACCAAGAACCGACCAAAAACAGACCAAGAACCAACCAACCAGACCAAGAACAAACCAAGAACAACCTCTAATAAAACATTAAAAAATACATTTTTACATATTTTTTGATTTTTTAGGTATTAATAACCATTGTAATTTATAAACATTAGAGAAACATTTAATTTATAAAAGAGAAAAAAATTGGTTAAAAATGAAAAACAAAGAACTGACCAAAAACATACCACGAACCGACCACACTTGACCAAGAATAGACAATGATGTTTTTTTTTTTTTTTAAAGCTTCGAACTAGTCCCGAAGATTGGAGAAACATTTAATTTATAAAAGAGAAAAAAAATTAGTAAAAATGAAAAAACCAAGAATAGACCAAGAACCGACCATTAACCGACCGAACAGACCAAGAACCAACCGACCAGACCAAGAACAAACCAAGAATCGACCGACCAGACCAATAACAGACTAAGAACATACCAAGAACAGACTCTAATAAAACATTAAAAAAATACATTTTTACATATTTTTTTATTTTTTGAGTATTAATACATGACTTTATCAATATATTAATGAAATAATATAATAAATTTATAAAAAAAGTATTTAATTAAACGTGACACGTAAGAAGTAAAAACATAATTCTACATATTATGCAAGACCATCGTGTATAAAATAAAGTTATGTTGTGTTGTGATAGATATAATTATATAATTTTGTAAAAATTAATAATTATTCAATTCAATATCAGTGAAATACCTCAATGTCATAAATCAATGATCTAAAATTTATATATTGATTTGAATTGATTGTTCATGGTCTGTTCTTGGTTTTTTCATTTTTTATCAATTTTTTTTCTTTTATAAATTAAATGTTTTTTCAATCTTCGGGACTAGTTCGAAGCTTTCCAAAAAAAAAAAACGTCATTGTCTATTCTTGGTCAAGTGTGGTCGGTTCGTGGTATGTTCTTGGTCTGTTATTTATTTTTTTATTTTAACCAATTTTTTTTGTTCTCTTTGATAAATTAAATGTTTCTCTAATCTTTATAAATTCCAATGGTTATTAATAATCATAAAATCAAAAAATATGTAAAACTGTATTTTTTTAATGTTTCATTTAAAATGACTAAGAACAGACTGTGCAATAAGAACAGACTAAAAACTAATCGTGCATTAAGAACAGACCAAGAACAGACTAAGAACCGACCGTACAATAAGAACATACCACGAACTGACTATGTAATAAGAACAGACCACGAACAGACCACGAACTGACCATATAATGAGAATAGACCACGAACCGACCATGTATAAGAACATACCAAAAACAGACTACGAACTGACCATGTATAAGAACAGACCAAGAACATACTAAAAATAGACCAAGAACAAACCTTTTTTTTCTAAACCCAACAGATTTTAATCATATCAGACAATGTAAACTGGTCTTTTACCATGTAAAATTACTATTTTAATAGATTTTAAACATTTTTAACTACATTCTCATCTTAAAAACATATGGACAACAACGAAAAACACCATGAGAGATATAGAAAAAGAAAGGCTTAGTAGCTCTTCTTCAAACTTCGTTTTGGACGAGAAAAAAACGCTGAATGGGCAAGATAATAATGTTAATGAGGTTGTGCGACGACGAGGACTTGAGAAGAAGAGAGAAGAAATGGAAGGCGGCTGGGAGAAGAAAATGGCGCGAAATGGAAGAGGATGAGGAGAAAGAAACCCGTAAAAATATAATTGATGACGTGGAATAGCTCATGTGGAAGTTAGTCTATTTACCTAATTTATTTTTTTGTGGTTTATTTACTTAAAAACACTTTTTACTTAGTCCATTTATCCAAACAGCCCCATCGTTCTAAGATTGATATATTTTAGGCCAATTTGAATTGAGATATAATTTTATTTAAAAATTTTTAATTATAATAAAAAAGTTATATGTAACTTTTTATGAGAACTTTTAATTGTAGTAAAATTAAAATTGAAAACTCAAATATGTGAAATAAATGAGGTCTTAATTTAAAGATTTAGGCATCGTTCATTTCATTGACTTGAGTTTAGAATTCGAGTTTTACTATAGGAAAAAACTTTTAAAAATAGTCACATCTAACTTTTTTACTACAGTAAAAAGCTCTCACATAAAGTCACATCTCAACTCGATTCATCGAACTAAACGGGTCATTTACCTTCTTTTTCGTTCATTTTTTCTGTTTTTTTTTTTTATAGATACTATAAGAAACAATTGTATTTAAACTGTTCATAAGATTGTTGAATTTAAGAGTGGTGAAGTTTAAAATTTACAATTCAAATTGGTCCCAATTATAAAATTGTTGTAATGAGCTCTATTTTAAATGAAGGTTATTTTCAATTAATAAAGGGAAAAACACGTTCGATAAAAAATTCTAACATTTCAATTCAAATCGTAATACAAAATTTTCAACTTTTCGACTCTAAATCCCTCAAATTTAACGAAAAAACATGGTAAAAATGATAAAATACAACACATTGCAATAGTTCTACAAATTGTTAAAAATTTAAGTTTAAGAGAGAAGTAATTAAACTTAAAGGGTAAATTTGATTTGAGAGAATAAATTTGCAAAAATAACGAAACAAAAATGAAACGAAAATTGTAGGAAATATGACTACATTCAAAACTTATGAAAGTAATGGTCAATTTATCAATATATAAAAATTAATGGATTATTTCATGTTTTTAATTTTTAATTTTTAATTTTTTAATTTTCTTTTTTTTATTTATTTTGGTAAATTTAGGTATATTCAGAATTTATGAAGTTAGAATCATTTGAAAAATAATAGTATAAATTTTAATATTAAATATCAAATATACCTGGTAAATTCAAGATTTATCAAGTCCATATTACTATAAAAAATGTACAAATTATAATGGTAAATCCTAGATATACATGGTAAATCTAGGATTTATCAAGTTTGTATAATAGGAAAAAAGTGAAAAATCTAATAGTAAATCCCGAATATACCTGGTGAATTTTAAATTTACCAAATTCATATCAGTCGGGAAAAAGTTTAAAAATTTAATGGTAAACCCCGGATATACTTAGTAAATCCCGGATATACTTAATAAATCCAGGATATACCTAGTAAATTCGGGATTTATCAAGTTCATATTACAAGAGAAAAAGTGAAAAATCTAATAATAAATCCCGGTTATATCTAGTACATCCCGGATTTACCAAGTTCATATAAGTAGGGAAAAGAACGCTATAAATTCTAATGGTAAATCCCGGATTTACCAAGTGTGTATTAGTAGGAAAAAAGTGAAAAGTCTAATGGTAAATCCCGATTTTACTAAGTTCGTATTTGTAGTGGAAAGAATATTAAGAATTCTAATGGTAAATCTCAGATATAATTAGCAAATCTCAAATTTATCAAGAGAGCATTTTTAAAATTTCAGCTAATTGTGAATCTGAATTTGCATCACATTAACCTATTTATTAACTTTTCTTAAACATTAACTTATTAATTTTAATTCATCCCAAATGTTGCCATATTTCCTTCAATCTCCCAATTTCTATATGCTGTGTTTGGAATTATTATTGTTTTTGTTTTTCACGGTTTTGAGAAAGAAAAAATAAAAACGATTTCAAAACGGCATTTGACTCAATTAAAGATAAAAAATAGAAATGAAAATGATTTTTTAGTTTAATATAAAATAAGAAAAAAATAAAAAATTACTGAGAGATAGACATTAATAAATTTTTTATACTAAAAATAATCTCTTAATAAAATTATTAAATACATTTTAAAAAATAATTTATGCATGGAATTAAAAAAATTTTATTTTTATTTTCATAAAAAAAATATAAAATTATTTTGAAATAAATCATAAACTCGGCCAATAGTATTTGAGTCCGTAACAATTTCAAATTAAAAAAAAAAAAAAAAAAAAAAAGAAAGAAAGAAAGAAAGAAAAAACCCCATAGCTCAGTGACCCACGAACAGAGGACAGAAGAGCATTTGTGGCGTCGCGAAAGGAAGCCCCTCTCTCCCCCGAGTACCGGCCAAGCTCCTTCCATGGTTGGTTTTCTGTTTGTAATTTTTTTTTTTTTTTCATTTTTGTAGTTTCTGTTTGAAGTTGGGATTTTGTGGCGGAAAAACAAAGTCTTTGAGGAGATACTAACGTTTCTGTTATAATCGTTCATTTCCCTTTGCTTAGATTATGGGATGGAATTTCATTCATAGATATTACAAATCGTAAAATGGGTTTGCTTTGAGATGGAAATCTTTAAGCTCATTGGATGTTTTATAAGGGTTATTTGGGTTATTATTTGGTTGTTATAATTTGCTTGCGAAATGGGTGGCCTTGTGAAGATGGAACTGAGACACTGAGGAGTGGGAACAACGGAGATAATTAGCCCAAGCTTGGCTTTTGTTGACTATAAGAATGAAAAGAGATTCAATTGTGTTTGTGCTTTTTGATTGAAGTTGTAGTTGGGTTTATAGATTATTGAAGTTTTGCTTTTGGAATTTTTCTTTGAAGTTTAAATTATGGAGATAGAAATTAGTTTACAGAATTCATTTTATTGTGGAATTTATTGATGTTTTTGGAATTTGGAACAAAGAAAAACATTTTTCTTTCCATTACCGTGAAAATTATCGTTGCAAGTGTAGAATCAATTAAACTCATATTTTGGTGTTAAATAAAGGTGAAAGCATCATTTTTCAGGACTATATAGCTGGAAACGGTTTCTGATGTAGGGAGATTTTTTTTTTTTGATACCCGGAAATCTCCCGAAACCCACTTTGTGAGGCTGAGTTAGAAACGAGGGTATTTTAAAAATATTTAACTGTCAAACTTTCCATCACGTACCTGTAATTTTATTGTGAAAATTCACGGGGCTGTTGATGTAATTTATTTTGGTCTAGGGAGTGTAAGTGTAAAGAGTCTTTCATTCGATGCTTATACATTGATTGGCCTTGAGGCGATTGATTAGACAAAACATCTTGGTTCTCAATTCTGCTAATGCCTTCCCTTCTTATTTTTATTTATTTTTTCTGTCTCCCTTTTCTCAGGAATTTTTTCGGAGTGCCATACTGCAACCTGGGCCACCTGAAACTTTTGCTCTGCAAACAGTTCAACAAGTGATAAAACCACAGGTGGCCATTACCCACAATACGTTCTTGCTGTTTGGAATTTAAGTTTTTGTAATTCTGTAGTACAAAAGCAAGGTGTCCATATGTTAAATCTCTTTATAAATGTGCATGTACTGTACTAATGGATTTAGGTCCTTGTTATGTTGTATCTACAATTCTACATGTAGCTTTTGTTTTTGTTTTCTGTTCCCCCCCCGAGAATATGGTAGGTGTTAATCCTTGTTAGTTTTTAAATTTTCGCATATCACGTAGGGGAAAAAAATGAAACAAAGTAGTACGTTGGCGCTTCAAGATAAATATATTTCTAGGAAGTTTGTGTACAGCTTGTTGAAATCCCGAATCTAGGGCATAGAAATCAGTTTCCTGATATAGGATAAATTGTTTCCTGATTAGGATAAGTTGTTTACTGATTTATTTTTTAAATTCAGCAGATCACTTTCCTGATCTCTAGGCCATAACTTTAGGAAAGTTGATTTTCATAATTGTATTATAAATAGGAGCCCTATGTACAGAATATTCATTCAATAATAAGAAAACAGAAAGCAACGTTCCTGCTTTCATGGTATCAGAGCCGAGGATTTTCTAACCTTGGCAATCAATGGCGAGTTCAACATCCTCGGAGACCACTGGCGAGACGACGGAGGTCACCAATACCATGACGTCGAATGGGTCCGAGAACTCCACCTTCCAGTTCACGGTTGAGAAACTCAACGGGAAAAACTTTCTCGAATGGGCTCAATTGATCAAACTGGTGATCGATGGAAAAGGAAAATTGGGATATCTCACTGGTGAAACGAAGAAGCCATCCTCAACTGATGCCTCTCTTCAGAAGTGGAAATCAAAAAATTCGATGGTAACTGCGTGGCTGGTCAACTCAATGAAGCCTTCAATCGGTAAAACCTATATGTTCCTCCCAACAGCAGAAGAGGTCTGGGATGCCGTTCGAGAGACATACTCTGATGTGGAAAATTCTTCCTAAATATTCGAGATTAAGACTCGATTATGGCAGATGAGACAAGAAGAAAGGGAAGTCACCGAGTACTACACATAGATGAAGGCTCTTTGGCAGGAACTTGATCTGAGTTATAAAGAAGAATGGGAATGCTTTGGAGACAGCGTGAGATTCAAAAAGAGGCTGGAGAATGAGAGAGTTTTCGAATTTCTGGCTGGACTCAACCGAGAATTAGATGAGGTGAGAGGAAGGATTCTTGGTCGGAGACCGTTGCCCTCAATCCGTGAAGTTTTTTCAGAGGTAAGACGAGAAGAAAACTGGCGCAAAGTGATGCTGAAACTCCCTGCCTCCTCTGTGCCGACTAGCTTTGGATCAGGAACCTCCGTGCTGATGACAAAAAGGGGACCGAATGGACCAGGCCAGAGTCAGCAAAGGAAAAAACCCTGGTGTGAGCACTGCCACAAGACTGGTCACACAAAGGATACTTGCTGGGAATTGCACGGGAAACTGCCAGATTGGAAGCCACGGCAGATCAACAAAAACCGAGGATATCAAGCTTCGGTTGATGATCAGAAGGAGAGAAAAATTGATGTCAGCAGCAGCGAGTCTCAAGCAAAAACTCCAATCAGTTAGTAGCAGATGGAGCAGCTTTATAAAATGTTCTCAAACTTCCAATCTACTAGTCAGTCCTCCAATAATGTGTCTTCTGGTTCATTAGCCCACAGAGGTAATTTTTTAAAAGCCTTGAATAATGTTTCTCAAAACAGAATTCCCTGGATTATCGATTCCGGTGCATTTGATCATATGACCAGTAATTATCATATTTTTTCCACATACTCACCTTGTGCCGGCAACGTCAAAGTAAAAATTCAGATGGTTCCCTCTCGACGGTTGCTGGAAAAGGGACAGTAAAAATTTCCGATTCTGTAACCCTAGAATCTGTCCTTCATGTCCCAAACTTATCTTGCAATTTGTTATCAATTAGTCAATTGACAAAAAATTCCAACTGTTGTGCTAAATTTTTCCCTTCTCACTGTGTTTTTCAGGACTTGTCATCGGGGAGGACGATTGACAGTGCTAAAGAATGTGAGGGACTCTACTACCTTGATGAGGCCAAGGCGAAGGGACAGCTTCAAACTGCAATTTGCAATTCTGCATCCACTTTTAGGGATAGTGAAATAATGTTATGGCGTCTTAGAATGGGTCACCCTAGTTTCCAGTACATGAAACACTTGTTTCCTTCTATTTTTTCCAATAAAAATATTTCTGTTTTTCAGTGTGAAATTTGTCAGTTTGCTAAACATCAACGTACTTCATTTAAAAAATCAAAGTACCAACCTTCCAAACCATTCACTTTGATTCACAATGACCTATGGGGTCCTTCTCGTATTCCTACTCGTACTCACACAAAATGGTTTGTAGTGTTTATTGATGATCATACTAAGGTCTGTTGGGTTTACCTCCTAAAAGACAAAACAGATGTCCGTGAAGTGTCAAAAATTTCTATTCCATGGTCCAAACGCTATTTCAAACTAGAATTCAGATGTTGCGTACAGATAATGGAATGGAATACTTTAACTCTATCTTAGGAGATTTCCTAATGTCAAATAGAATTATTCACCAAAGTTCATGTGTCGACACTCCAAAAATAGAATGGAGTTGCCGAACGAAAAAAAAAACACTTGTTGGAGGTGGCCCGAGCCTTAATGTTTATTGCCCATATGCCTAAAATGTTATGGGGAGATGCTATGGAGATGCTATCTTAACATCTGCCCATCTCATCAATAGGATGCCTAGTCGGGCCCTTTCGTTTGAAACTCCACTTAATACTCTAAAGAAAGTTTTTTCCACCTCACGTCTACCCTCAAATTTACCTCTCAAAGTGTTCGGCTGTACTGCCTTTGTTCATGTTCACTCTCAAAATCGAAGTAAGTTGGATCCTAGAGCTTCTAAGTGTGTGTTCATTGGCTATTCTCCGACACAAAAGGGCTACAAATGCTTTGATCCCTCTACAAAAAGGTATTTGTTAGTCTTGATGTTACATTCTTTGAAAACACTCCTTTCTTCCAAAAAACTCCTCTTCAGGGGGAGATTTCTAATGAAGATCGTTTTGTGGACTTTGAACTTCTTCCTTCTGAGTCTATCTCAAACACAGAAAACACCACCCTTCTTCCTGCCCTTCTTCCTTCTCATTCCAATATGCCATATACAGAAGGACACTTGAACTCAGGGGGAGATGTGGAAAAGCAAAAGAACAGGGAGTTGCTAATCTACTCGAGAAGGCCAAAGTCGCAAAAACAAGACAACCTCACTTCCGAAGCACCAAGAGAGTCTAACCCGGTGATAGATCCAGGAATGAATGAGCCAACCACAGAAAAAGGTATTTCCAATACTCCTGAAATTCCTGATATTGATCTTGCCATAGCTCACAGGAAAAAACCTCGTTCATGTACACTTCACCCCATCTCCAAGTTTGTGTCACAAAAGAACTTATCCACCAACTTTCAAGCTATTGTCTCTAACCTCAACAGTATAGAAATTCCAAAGAATATACAGGAGGCACTAGCCGTTCCTGAATGGAGAAACGCAGTCATGGAGGAAATGAAAGCTTTGAAAAAAAATGAGACTTGGGAGGTAATGGAGCTACCGAGAGGGAAGAAACCAGTGGGATGCAAATGGGTGTTTACCCATAAATACAGACCTGATAGAACGATAGAACGATACAAAGCTCGTCTCGTTGCTAAGGGCTTTACACAAACTTATGGCATCGACTACACCGAGACATTCGCTCCTGTGGCAAAACTAAATACAGTTAGGGTCCTCCTATCCTTGGCATCTAATTTGGATTGGCCCCTGCAGCAACTCGACATAAAGAATGCTTTCTTGAACGGCGAATTAGAAGAGGAAGTCTACATGGAAATGCCTCCAGGATTCAGTAAAGGACAGGAAGACAAGCGAGTGTGTAAACTTAAAAGGTCACTTTATGGTCTCAAGCAGTCCCTAAGAGCATGGTTCGACAGGTTTGCCAGGGTGATAAGGAACCAAGGATATCTACAGGGGCAATCAGATCATACTATGTTCTACAAACAAGCCAAAGATGGGAAGAGGACAATCCTGATAGTCTATGTTGATGATATAATCCTTACCGGTGATCATGAAGCAGAAATGGAAAGGTTGAAGAGTATTCTCGCCACAGAATTTGAAGTTAAAGATTTGGGACAAATGAGGTATTTCTTGGGAATGGAAGTTGCTAGATCAAAGAAAGGAATCAGTGTCTCCCAAAGGAAATATGTCCTTGATCTTCTCACAGAGACCGGTATGCTTGGATGCAAACCAAGTGACACTCCGATTGAAGCTGGAAAGAAGACTGAGGATGCTGGAAAATTAGTTGACATAGACAGATATCAGAGACTAGTAGGCAAGCTAATATATTTGTCTTATACCAGACCGGACATTGCATTTGCAGTGAGTGTGGTAAGGCAACACATGCACTCACCAAAGGAGGCTCACCTAGAGGCAGTCTATAAGATACTCAAATATCTCAAAGGTTCACCTGGCAGAGGACTATTCTTCAAAAAGGTGGACTGCAAAGGAGTAGAAGTCTATACAGATGCAGCTTGGGCAAGTTCAATTGAAGACAGGAAATCCACTTCGGGATATTGTACTTTTGTATGGGGGAATCTAGTAACCTGGAGAAGCAAAAAGCAAAATGTGGTGGCTCGAAGCAGTGCCGAAGCTGAGTTTAGAGCAGTTGCTCAAGGAATATGTAAAGCACTATGGCTGAGGAAACTCCTAGAAGAACTCCTAGTCACAGTAGAATTCCCAATCAAACTCTACTGTGATAACAAAACAGCAATTAACATCTCTCTCAATCCAGTCCAACATGACAGAACCAAGCATGTGAAAGTGGATAGACATTTCATCAAAGAGAAGGTGGAAAAGGGGATCATTTGCATGACCTATGTTCCTACTCAAGATCAGACGGTAGACATCTTCACCAAAGGGCTTGCAAGACAAAAATTCGATGATTTCTTAAGCAAGTTGGACATGATTAACATATATGATCCAACTTGAGGGGGAGTGTTGAAATCCCGAATCTAGGGCATAGAAATCAGTTTCCTGATTTAGGATAAATTGTTTCCTAATTAGGATAAGTTGTTTCCTGATTTGTTTTTTAAATTCAGCATATCACTTTCCTGATCTCTAGGCCATAACTTTAGGAAAGTTGATTTTCATAAATAGGAGCCCTATGTACAGAATATTCATTCAATAATAAGAAAACAGAAAGCAACGTTCCTGCTTTTACAGCTTTTTTGAATTTGCATCAAATATGGGTTGCTTATCAATCTGCAAAACTGCTGAAGCTTGGTTAATTTCTTTTCAACTGAAGATGAACTGGTGGTATACTGGTACTTGTATATCTTGAGAGAAGAAATATCTTGTCTCACGTCCAAGTTAACATTTGGACGATAGTAAATTTGGAATAAAAGACATTCTTATTCTTAAGGTGGGCTGTTCTGCATACTCCGTGTGCGTGCACATGTGTGTATATTTATAGGCTATCTTAATCACGTTAGTTTATGCTAAGGACTAGGATTAAACTTTAAAATTTTTCTTCTCCGTTTTTTTCTTTTCTTTTTCAGAGTGAGGCTCCTGGTATTGTTACTCCTACTAAGGAATGATATAAAACACCAAGTTACACGTGTTTTCAACTACATTTTGTCTTCCTTCCACATTCTAAGCATAAAAGTAGTCCGTCATCAACATTCAACTACCCTAGTATGTTACTTATTCAACCGTATTTGTTCTTTTATGGATCTAAACTCATTTCTCAATTTTTTTTTTTTTTGCCTTGTGCAATAAAATATATGAAACAAAACTTGCACCTTCTGTGTGATTTCACCTTGAAGAAAATTTTAGTAATCTGTAAAATGAAGTACATGCTAATCAACTAATTGGGCTAGTAATAGCAGTATAACCGAAAGATTTCTCTTCCTAGTGTTTCTTTTTTCTTGTTTGTTTGTTTGTTTGTTTCTCTTTTCCTGTAGTCTTCTTATGGTTCCATTTGGCTGTGGACTGCAGGCCTATTTTTGAGGCATTGATTTAGGTATTCGTATGTTACTATTTTCTTTTTCCTGATGTAACAGAAACAAACAAAGTTAGCCCAAGATGAGAATCAGTTATTGGAAAATATCATCCGGACTTTGCTTCAGGAGCTGGTGGTATGTCTCTCTCTCTGTTCTTATTCAGAGAAGTTATGATTATTTGACTATTGTTGTGAAGTATGTTGGATATCGAGCCACAGTTTGTATTATGCTAATAAATGGACATTTTCATTACACCTTTACTTCATATTTCTTGAGAGAGTTGGGGATATATAATTGAGATCAATTCTTCTATGTTTCATATGAGTAGTATAAATACAGAGGTTGGAATTGATGAGGTTAGGGAATTGTTTGGTAATCATTTGGGCTTGGGCAACCAAGATAAGGGGAGTTAGATAGTCTCTCGAATACATCTTAGCTAGAGTTTCCTAGTCGCTTGTATCAGTGATTTTCATGAAATGGATCAAAGTTCATCTTTTTCATTCAATTTGTGTTTGTGTGTGTGTGTTAGAACAGTGTTCTATCAATCACACACACATGGTTTTGTGTTTCTTGTCATATGAATATGATTTTCCAGTTGAGTATGCGTGTGGGTGTTTGATCAACACACAAATATATGTGATTGGTGAATGGATACATATACATTTGCTTATGTTTTGCTGTTGATGTGTAAAGGCATATAGAGTTAGCCACATAGAGTTTTGTAGTGTTTAAAGGCATCTATATGTGCTTTGAGTTAGGGTGGGTTTTTTTATTTTTTATAAATAAGTTTTTAACTTGCATTTGTTTGTTTATCCAAGTGGTTTTATGCTAAAAATCAAGGGATTGACAGTAATAAACTTGGATATGCATATGGGCATGGACGGAGCTACATGGGGGCCCCTGCCCCCCACTCACTTTTTTATCTTTTTAATTTTCACCTATAATTTTATATAATTTTACAAATGTGCCCCGTCAAAATATTTTCTATAAAAAGTGACCCTGTTTTTTTTTTTTTTTTTTTTTCTTGAACCTATCCCACTATTTTAAGTTATTTAATTGGTTTTCTTACTTAATCTCCTAGATAGCCACTATTCTTTTGGTTGAATAATCTCAGACAATATTTGATCTCTTTTTTATTATCCACTTTTTTTCTTCCACGCTTTTATAAAAGTTTTGTTTGATTTTGAATTAATACTATTTTAACAGAATAAGTTTGTGTTGATTAATTATGTGTGAATTTTACTTCTTAATCTTGGGGATTAGCTTTGACTTGCGTATTTATAATTTATTTCTTAAAGAAAATTGTTAATAACTATAAGGAAAAAAATAAAAATGGTGAGAAATAATAATAATAAAAAAAAAACTTGTGAGTGCTCCCACTAAAATAAAATCCTAGCTCCGTCCTTGCATATGGGTGCATAATTTCGTTATCAGTGTGGACATTTTTACATTCTAGACATCAACAAGACTTCATTTTTATTGCTTGTATTACAGTCTTCTGCAGTACAGTCAGGGGAGCCAATAATGCAGTATGGGCAATCAATTGACGAGGGAGGGAGTACTCAGGCTCATATTCCTCGTCTTCTTGGTATGTTCATGTTCTAATTTGCCTAACATTTGCTCTTATTATTTTGAAGAAGTTGCCTACTTATTTTGTTATTTTGTTTTGAAAGTAGAGCTCTTAGTTCCCCTTCCTGTATCACTTACCTTCTTTTCATATCCAGTGTTTAATATATTTCTTATTTCTTATAGAACGGGAAAAAAGAAAAGTAAGACACCTGAATTAAGACGTTGTCGTACTTTATTTGACTATGATGGATGTTGTGACGATTTAAAAAGCCACAACAGATCTTTTGGTCTCTGAACTTGCTTTTTTCTGGACATCTTGCAGCATGCGTCCCTCTTATTCTCACAGTTTTATTTCATTTTATTTTTTTATTTATGTATTTGTTTTTGTGCGTATGTGTCTTTTTTCTCATCCCCTCCCAAACAGATGTTGTGTTATATCTCTGTGGAAAAGAGCACATTGAAGGTGGCATGATATTCCAGCTGTTGGAGGACTTAACTGAAATGTCTACAATGAGGAATTGCAAAGACATTTTTGGTTATATAGAGAGTAAACAGGACGTATTAGGCAAGGTTTGTGCTTTTCTGATTGTTTTAATTTTTTTTTCCAGCACTAAAAGTTTAATGTAATCTATGAGAAAGAAAAGGATTTTTATTCATTTTTTTTTCCTAGAACATTTAATTATTTCTGTAATGTTTTTTTCTTGGACCTTTTTTCCTCCTGAAAATGACCGATTATCTACAGCTTGAGCTTTTTGCTCGTGGGAAACTTGTTATGTTGAGGACATGCAATCAGCTTCTTCGTCGTCTATCAAAGGTCTGCTGCTGGTTTATCATTTTTTTTTTTTTGTCTTTTTCAGGCTACTTCAGCAATAGAGTTCAGGGATTTTAGTTTTATGGTTAAATTGTTTATACATGCTCTGAACAAAGTTACAGTACAATTACATAGCTGACATTACGAAATGTCTAAAATTTAAGAAGTAGCTGGTGGCAATTAAAAATTCAATAGTAAGAATCTACTGTATCGTTCCAAAGGAAGGTTCTTATGCATATTGTGTTTTTCACGTTGCTTCATGATGTGAGTCTTATGTATATTTAATATGCAACTCTAAGCAAAACGATGCTTTAAGTATTCTTTCTGGGCACAATTTTTCTTTTTTGGCAATTAGTGCACAACCAAAGGAAAAGGATGCAAATTCTCTTTTGAAAGAGTTGTATTTAGCTTCATTGCATGCTTCTACAGACAAGGTCTTCAAAGACTTTCGTTTTCTTTGACTGTGTTAGATTGGAAAGATGCTATGGGCTACTGATGTTTTTAGGCTTTTTTTTTCTTTGTCGTAATTTTATGAGGATACTTGTCCTCTGCATGTTGTAATATTCTATTTGTTAATAAAGTTTTGTTTTTCTTTTTCAAAAAAATAAAATAAAATTTTTGTTTTGTATAAAACGAAAAATAGTACAGAGTTTTTTAGATTGTGTTAGCATGAAAGTTGAGGCCAATTAAGAAATCTTCAACACTTCTATAAACGTCAGGGTGGGAGAGTTGGTTTTGGAAGGATGGTTGGTGTTATTTTTCCGAGTCTTTTCCAATATATTATTTTTCTAAGTCTCAACACATCCTATTTCTTCCATGTTTTCTTATTCTGATCCTAATACTTGGTGGGGAATTTTACCCTATTCCTGATCTTAGTGAGAGAGGGACTTCCATATTTTTTTTTTGTTCATAGTTAATGTTGACTTAATTAAACTGCTGATACTTTGTTTGCTTGCTTTAAGGGAAAATGATAAAATGGAAAGTCTCGTTTGTGGCATATAGCTGCTTTTGCAGTAGTGCAGTGTTGATAGCTAGTTTCAAAGTGATAACCGACTTCAATTTGTAAAAGTTGAAATGAAACTCATGCTTTATGATATATGGAAATCGTATTTACAGGCAAATGACGTAGTCTTTTGTGGACGAATTCTCATGTTTCTAGCGCATTTCTTTCCATTATCTGAGCGCTCAGGTATTTGCTTGTAATCTAGAATTCTCTTTTGTTTTTTGTATATTCATCTTACCTCCCCTTATCTTTTATTTATTTTATTTTTGTTTAACTTTCCTTTTCGGGTTATTGCTTGCAGCTGTGAATATAAAAGGAGTTTTCAACACGTCAAATCAAACAAAATATGAGAAAGAACCCCCGGATGGTGCATCCCAGTTACTTTGATGAGAATCTATTCTGTGTTGTAACTTGTAAATGTACTCGTTAATATATTACCTTTTTGTTCATTCTATAATTTGCAGGCATTTCCATTGATTTCAACTTTTATAAGACCTTTTGGAGTTTACAGGTACACTTTGTTATAGCGTGATTTATGAGAAATATAGAAAGTGTTGTTTTCTATTTTCTTTTAACCATGTAAAACAGTAAAAAGTATAATTTATGTATGCGTTGTCATAGTATAGATATACTTGAAAATATAATTGGCATGAGTTTCTAGCACTGTGCCCATCTGGCTTTACACTTTACCATTATAGTAATGGATCTATGGGAGCTTCTTGTGGCAAGTGCTTGAAATATGCTCTTGTGACCCCTTGTTTCTTATGTTAAAAAAAAAAAAGGGTTATTGCTTTTTAATTGTTGTAGCCAAAGGTTCCTCATCGTTTAGTTCTTGTAGCATCTCTAGTAGAAGCCGTGCTGCTTGCGTATATCAGTTGATTAACATAAAAATGTATCTATTTGGATCTAAAGGAGCATTTTTGCAACCCGGCTTCCCTTCCTCTTGCTCATCCAAAGTGGCAGAAATTTGTGTCCAGTTTAATGGTATAACCAAATCTTGTTGTGTTTTCCGTTTCCTTGATCTTGGCATCATTACTCTTTATGTTTGTTATGCTGTCTACACTGTTCAGTTAACTATGCTAAATACTCTTTTTTTACATGAATTTTGAGTTATATAGGTTGTGCTGAATACATTTGAATCCCAACCTTTAAGTGATGAAGAGGGAGACGCCAATAATTTGGAGGAGGAGTCAGCAACTTTCAGTATAAAGTATCTTACAAGCAGTAAACTTATGAGTTTGGAGGTAAGCAGTTCTGGAAATCATTGACGTTAATGGAGCTTTCACTTTCTGGTCAACCTTTAAGTTAAATCTTCTGTTCTGTTTTCCTCTGGGGATGGGTTGGAACAGTTAAAGGATCCAAGTTTCCGACGCCATATTCTTGTGCAGTGCCTCATACTGTTCGACTATTTGAAGGTAGCTGCAATTTTACAACGATCTATTTCAGTTATTTTACGTGTGTACCCTTATTTATTTTGGCCTAGTGGTAGATTCTCTGATTGGGTCTTATGTGCATCTAGGCCCCAGGAAAGAATGAAAAGGATTTGCCTTCCGAGAATATGGTAAGTGTTAGTATCATTTGTGTTATAGTAAGTATTGTGTCCTTTTATGTTTTAAATAAATGTTGTGAAGGAGAAAAGGAATGGAATAAATTTTTTTCACATAATTCAAGACTCCACTTTTTGAGAAGATGTGTGGTGGGGGATGACTTCTTTCCTTGAGGCTTAAACTAGGCAAACAGAAAAAATTTAACTGCAAAAAGCACTAGTGTAGTGTTTATCAATTCTATTAAATGCTTAGGCCGGTAGCAGTCGGCCAACGTTAGTATTTAGGATCGAAGTCTTCTCAGCAAATGCACAGAAAAGTCGTTTGTACATGATCATATGCCCTTTTAAAATGTCTTTCTTTTAGCCCCCCTCAGTGGCCATCCCTGCATACGTGGGATAATTTGCAAAATGCCAAAGGTGCATCCGTTTTGAGGTTAAAGATGCACTTGCACATGGAACCTCAATTGTCTTTGAACAAAACCATCTTACTGCCTACTCCGTTCTATTTATAGTGGCAGAATTTGTCACTTGAATTTTTTGCCTTGAAAGTTGCATTAGTTTTTTTTATTATTATTATTTTTTACATACATACATACATACATATCTGCTTGATTAAAAGTCTATTTCTTTTGGTCATGATTTTATGTGTATGATGGATACATAACACGTGTGTAACAACAATGTAAGTTTGTTTAACACTTTAACTACGTTGCTTTTGTTTCAGAAAGATGAAATAAAATCTTATGAGGATCATGTTAAAAAGCTACTTGAGATGACTCCACCAAAGGGTAAAGATTTCCTTCATAAAGTTGAGCATATATTAGAACGTGAAAAGAATTGGGTGAGACTACTTCTGCTCTCTATCAGCATCTCCTGCTTAGACTTTTAAAATTTGATGGGTGCAATCAAGCCTCTTAACTTTTTGGCAAATGTTTTGTGCTCAGTTATGGTGGAAACGTGATGGGTGTCCACCATTTGAAAAGCAACCAATAGAGAAGAAAGTGGTTCAAGATGGAGTTAAAAAACGGTTAGCTGATTTTTAACTTCTACTCTCTAACTCTCTCCGATAATGCCTTTTATATGTTCCGTTTCTTGCAAAGCATTTTTTTTCTTTTAAATGCTATAAGCAAAATACTTCAGAAGATTCAAACAGAGATCAAGCCTTTATCCCCTAGCCTATCAACGGATTCTGTGTAAGTGGACTGGGCTCTAGAGCTGTCTTTGTGGCCATGATAGGTTTATTTTGCACAATTGCTTCACTGTTCAGTTGTTTTGTAAATCCTGAAGTTTTCAACCTGTCATTTAATTCTGATTATGTTCTAATATCAATCTCAACTTTTTTAAGAAATGTGTTTTTTGATTTGTCTTCTTTTTATGTATTCTTATGTTTCAGTAGGCCAAGGTGGAGACTGGGAAATAAAGAGCTTTCTCAGTTATGGAAGTGGGCAGATCAGAATCCGGTGTGTTATTTCACTTTCTACTCTTGACAGGAAAAAGGAAAACTTATTTTACTAAAGATGGAGCTGCTAGTTAGCAACTCAAATGATTCTTTACTTTGGGGTCGTTAGAATTTTGTTTTGAGTTGAGTGAAGAAAAGGACTCCTTTGGACCTGCAAACTGAAATATCAAAATCTAAAAGGTGACCTAAATTATAAGTCCTTCGCGTTGGGAAATATGGACTATAAAATTACTGGTGTCCAACTGAGAAACAAATGTTCATTTTCATTCTTGAGCTCTGGATGGTCGCTATGAAATGAAAGTTAATCACATAAGAAAATTAATTGATAACATTTGCACACAATTGTAATGGCATTAGTCTCAATATCAGCTCAAACTCTACTTTCTTATTCTAAAGATTCTCAAAAAGAAAGTATTTGTATATAGGAAATATAAAATGGTATAATTGCAGTTGTTTTTTTTTTTTTTAAATAATGATTGATGGTACTTTCTTAATTTTCTTATTCCTGACATGTCCAGAATGCTTTAACTGATCCTCAACGTGTTCGAACACCGTCCATCACAGAGTACTGGAAACCCTTGGCTGAAGATGTGAGCAGTTTCATTTGCTTGTTGATCTCTATTTGAAAATTTGATAGTTCATTTTATATTCTCTATCAAACATATTCTGTTTTCATTTATATATAGGTCCGTATCTGGTTAAATGTTTAACCATTAAATATTGCTTTATTCTTCAATTACAGATGGACCCATTAGCTGGAATAGAAGCTGAATATCACCATAAAAATAACAGGGTAGGTTTTTGGTTCTCGTGCACGTTGGCTTTCTAATTATTAGCAGCTTAATGTGTTTTCCTCCTCAGAAGGACACTCTTGCCACTCCTATAAATTGATTCCTGATAAGTCCAACCAGTGTTCTTCAGGCCTCAATTAATCCAGTCCCTTTATTAAACCGAAAAATCGTTGATTCAGATTGGCCCGACTGTGTGCAAATTCCAACATCAGTTATAAGCTATTTGATATTTTTTAGCACTTTAAGAATTTTCTGTCATGCCAAAGAAGTGAGTCCTATAATGTCCTTGTACCCCAATGCCTTGACGCATCTGGATTCGTTGGACGAGACATGAATTTAAAAATTTATCAATAAGAGATTTTTGTTTATATTCAAAAATAAATAAAAGGAAAATTCGCTAGCTTCAATTTTTTCTTTTCCATTTCCGAATTTAAAATATTTCTCAAAGGTAAAACTTGACGTATGTTTAGTTTTTTCCATGCTTGCGCAATGAATTTGGATGCACTTTGTTATTTATGCTTTCAAACATAGAAAGAAGTACGAGTAATCACTTAGAAGTTGAGCTTGTCCAATAACCAGTGGTTCTTTGCAGGTTTATTGCTGGAAAGGTCTACGCTTTTCAGCTAGACAGGACTTGGAAGGATTCTCTAGAGTATGACTACCCGACCGACTACTAAGACATCATCATTGTATAATTCATTGAACTAATCCTAACGGAACATTCATATAACTTTTGTTGCAGTTTACTGACCATGGCATAGAGGGAGTAGTGCCCTTAGAACTTTTACGACCAGATATCCGCTCGAAATATCAAGCTAAGTCAAATGAAAGGTCTAAACGCGCTAAAAAGGAAGAAGCAAAGGATGCTGAAAACCAGGTATTATTGTCAATTTGACATGATCTGAATTTCCATTATTTTCTTTAGTTTTTACTTGTGAGATACAGAGTTGAGCAAGTTAATGCCAAATTTAGAGAATCTATCTCCTGCCGAAATTTTTACAAGAAACTCCTAATATTGCAACAAAGTGAAGAGACATTTTTTCCCTTCTCATTATTCTATTGGTTTCTTATTTTAAAGATTGCAATGCCTGCAAGTGAGATAGACGAAGGGATCAGGCCCGATCTTGAGGCGTCTGCAACCACAATGGATGCCGAAACCACAGCTGGAACAGGAACGGTGTCCCAAGGTGGCAGTCCAATGCCCGATGAGCACCAGAAACAAAGCTCGGACGCAGATGCCGGTCAAGAGGCTGGCCAGTTGGAAGCAGATGCCGAGGTCGAGGCAGGGATGATAGATGGTGAGCCAGATACAGAGGTTGATTTTGATCCAGCAACCTGAGATATGTGGCAGAAGTTTACAAAGGGTTCCCCCCAAGTCCTAGAGAATATCAACAAAAATGTGTGCTAAAGCAAAGAATGTCAAATTTCTGTCCCTATTTGTAACTTCCGATAGTGTGGTTTAATTTAGTGACACTACAGTTTTATGCCAATTGCGTAGGCAAAGAATGCCAAATTTCTATCACTTTTAGTTTTCTTTCCGTCCATTGGGATTAATTTGCCGTAAAAAGTTTGACCTTGGGGTAGCGGGGAAACAAAGATGGAATTTTAGTCCAAACCGAGCCTCTTTTTCGGCTCGTTTCCATTCTTTAAAGCATTGCAATTTTGCACCATCGCCCTTGACGTTGCACAAAGTTGATCAACACTGCATATCAATATAGTTTTTTGCTAGTGGCATAATCTTATCTTTATCTTACATATATAATTTGTTACCTTTGGCTTATGTGAGTGTGGCTTGCTGCGTGTACTAACGTTTCATTTCCTTTTCTTTTTTACGTTGCTTTTTTTTATTTTTTATTTTATTTTTATTTTTGGGTATGGTTGGTTGTCGTTAATTTACCCATTTAATATTTATTCGCTTATGTGAGTAGATTTTTGCTTGGGTTGCTGCACCATTTTTTTTTTTTTTTTCCTTTTCTTGGCTTGTTTATTCATTTCTATGTGTTATAGTAAGGCAAATAATGGGTCCACCTAGAAAACAAAAAAGCATTACTATGTATATGTGTGTGTGCATGTCAGCTATTAACATATAAATAATCAATCACCATTATGGGGAAGTGGATTGGCTTAAGGGTGGAGATTCGTTACATAAAAAACGTTTGGAATTGATTCCGTTTTTGATTTTTACGTTTTTTGAGCGTTTTTAAAACGATGTTTAGCGCAATAAAGATAAAAAATAAAAATGAAAATAATTTTTTAGTTTACTATAAAATGAGAGAGAAATGAAAAATGACTTTTAATCGTTTTTGATTTTTTATTTTCGTTTTCTGCTCTCTCGAGTAGAGAAAGAGAAAGAAACATTAATAGGTTTTTTTACACCGAAAACAATCTCTTGATAAAACTACTAAACGCATTTTTAAAAATAATTTTTGTCTGAGATTGAAAACGTTTTCATTTTTATTTTTATACAAAAAATAAAAACATTTTCAAATAAGTTCCAAACGCGTCCAAAATTTTTCCCCTCTAAAGCTTCCAGTCGGCAACAGAAGAATGAGATTAAAGGGTTTTGTAAAGGCTGATGGGACTTGGACGCTTAAACGAGAAGAGATTGTCGAAGCTTTAGAAAACTATTTCACCGGGTATGCTTGCAAAATAAATACACATTAAATAGGAGGGAAAGAAAATAATAAAATAGCAAAAATTTATACATTGAACTGTAGTAAGTTTTTAGAATATATTAAGAATGGTTATGTAATAATTAATGTAATGATGTTCTTATTTTATGTTATAAAACTATGTCACAAGTATTATATTGGTGTTACTTTTTACTATTTGTAAAGAATTCTAATTTTTTTTTGGCCATATTTTAACCTTACTAGTAAAGATTATGTCATATATCTAACTATCCTTTGAAATCTGTTATTCAAATCCATTTTTGTCCTCTTTTTATTTTTTCTCCTGTCAAACAACCATTCATCTAAAATCCTTTCAATAATTCCCTCACCCTTCTGCATATTTTAATTTTCCCACTTATAAAATTAAGCTCTTATTGTTGAAGAGATTACATTTTCTCCTTTCAAGTTACATTCTCATATGAGATATACATAGTTATAGAGTTATTATCACTGTTAGTCCATTATCTTTGAGCATTGTAACATTTTGATCCTAAATTTCTAATTTTAATAAATTACTCCTAGAACTTTTACTTTTTGACAGTTTCGGTCTCTAAAACTAAAATTGAGGAAGGATTTATCAAATTTAATACAGATAATTACATTCCAAAACTTGACAACTGAAAATTTTACATAAATAATTACATTAATTACAAAATCATTTTTGAGAAGTTTTAATAGTGCTGAAGAGTACATTTTGTACATAATATAATAAATTTCTGCCACGTTTCAATGGACACATGATTATCCATGTTGAAATTCGAAAATCATTTTCATTTTCCAAGTATTTGCAACCAATTCAATACCGTTTTAGAAACACTTAGTACTCTCAATGCTTATTTTTTATTGTAGAGTATTGTATTTGTTTACTAGTAGATACAGTTGTTTGAGTATGGCTATGAGAATATTATTGTGGAATCTTAACTGTATTAAGATATTTATAATTATTATTCTACTAGTTGAACTCATGTGGTCAAGAGTAATCCATGTTAAGTTTTGATTAATGTGTTATTATTTTATTTTTAAAATTTATTTAATAATAAAGATATTTGTGGTCAAGAGTAATCCATATGTTAAGTTTTGATTAATGTGTTATTATTTTATTTTTTAAATTTATTTAATAATAAAGATATTAGTTAGTTAGTACACGACTAATACAAAGACCTTTATAAGTATCGCCATTAGAATAATAAAGACTATAAAAAATAAATAAAAATAGACACATCTGGAAAAATATGTTTCCATGAGAACACTCGGAAAGAAAGTATTTAAAAAAAATACATAAAAAATGATTGCATTATAGAGAATCTTTTAGCAAAATGAAAATAACAAAAATAAAAAAGATTTAAGCACGGGTACATATAAAAGAAACTATGTTAATAGGAGTAAAGTAAGGGAAAAATGTATTTTAAATCACTCAACTGAAACAAATTAGAAAATATGCATGTATTAAAAAATAAGGATTAATTACAAACATTTTTCCTAAATTATGACTCGTGTAACACTTTACCTTCTTATATTTAAAGTGTAACACCCATTTCTCCCAACTTACAATTGTTAACAAAAATGCTCTTTCTGTTAATATTTCTGACGGAATCGCCACATGTCACACAAATATTGATTATTGATAAACAGTTTGGTGCACAATTACTCTTCTACCAATGATTCTTAGATTTATATTTTTTAAAAATGGATTTTAATTTTAATTCAATAAGATAATAAATAAAATAAAACAATAAACAAAATTTTTATTTTTATTTTTCTAATTAATTAATTAAAAGAAAATTACTTAGAAATTTAGTTTATAGTTTGTAGTATTTTTTTTCAAGAACATGTATGATTACCAAAATACCCCTCAAATTATGAAATATGAGCCACTTTTCTATTAGAAAACTAACAGAATGAGCATTTTTGTTAATGATTCATAGCTTAGGGTGGATGGGTGTTATATTTTAAAGACTAGAGGGGAGTAAAGTATTACAAGGATCATAATTCAAAGAGAATTTTTGTAATTAATCCAAAAAGTAAGAGTTGCAAATAATGGAACATGCACATCACAATAAAGTTTTTCAAATTAAAGTTTTAAAAATAAGACACATATAAAAGTATATAAAATCCCAAAAAGCGACCAAAATAATAAAAAAAAAATTATAGGGCAAGAAGTAAACAAAAAAAAGGGTAAAAAAAGAGCCAAAATGGAAAAAAAAAAAGAACAAATTTTAAAGTAAAACACAAAATGAACAAAAATGAAAGAAAAAGGATAAAGTTGTAGGACAAATTTTTTTTTAAAAAAAAGTCATAGAGGACCAAAATGAAAAATAAATAAGTTTAGAGTTAAAAAATAAAAGACCCGGAAAAGGAGGAAGGGGGAAGGGGGAGTGACGGAGGTTCGAACAAAACGGTGTAGTTTTTGTCAGAACCGTACGTTTTCAAGATTTCTATGGCCTCGTTCACTTTGCGGATTCGAGTTTTTAATTTGAGCTGAGATGTGACATTTTCTAAGAGCTTTTCACTGTACCAGAAAAAGTTAGATGTGACATTTTCTGAGAGCTTTTTACTGTAGAAACCTAAAATTAAAAACTCAAATTGGTGAAATGAACGAGGCCTATGTGTGTATAGATAAATGAGACATTTTTAATATTTATTTTCATGTATATATTCATGAAAAATACAGGTAGCTATCAAAAAAATATGTCACTTGCTGAGACCCAAAAGACAGGAAAGGTATTAGGTAACGCACTTTTAGCCACCAAAATATATTGTGTAACCGAATAGAAAAATATAAGAATATTAGTGTATATAAATATATTTTATTAAGTGTGAAAAAAATGATTGCACGATAATCGTGTGTATATAACATAAATATATATATATATTGGTCTTGTCATATAAACGTATAAATAATCAAGCGACACGGCACAGCAATACGTTGTTTGTGGTTACCTCATATTTAATAAAATGTTTCAATGCTAAAGTGTCTTCCAAGTAGAGTATCTTATAACATTATTTTACATGCATTTGGTATAACTAGATAGAAAAACATTTCTCGTAACATTATTTACATGCATTTGGTGTAACTAATTGTCGTTTATTTCATTTATTCACCGCATCTCGTTTTTTATTTTTATAGGACAGTCAAGTCCTCTCCAAGACATCATTTTCAATATTGGTTATCCGGAAGGAACAACAAACTAAACAGATGAATCATTGACATGTAAACTAATTGTCATTTTGTTCAGTGTCTTTTAATTTGGAATTTGTTCTTATGATTTATTTCATAAATGCGCCTTAATTACATAGTTTAGTTGAATATACTTTGTGAATTTTGAAAACGGTTCATTTCACTCTTGAATTATGTACTATAGTTCAAAATACTCTCTTTTATCTGTAATATTAATGCTATACCACATTTTTCACATGTCAAGATCAACATCCTACATCGATAATACCAAAGCTCAGAACTCAAATTAGATGTAACTCAAATCATTTAAGAAGCACTAAATGACTTAATCTTATGATTTATTTCATAAATGCCCCCTAACTACATATTTTAGGTGAATATACTTTATGAATTTTGAAAACGGTTCATTTCACTCTTGAACTATGTACTCATAGTTCAAAATACTCTCTTTTATCCGTAATACTACATTATACCACATTTTTCACGAGATCTAACTCAAATCATTTAACAAGCACTAAAATGACTTAATAAACACGTTATCCGTAGCTTTGAAAGTCGCCGATGGAGCTTCTTGCTTGATCCTACAGCTTCAAGCTCAATCTTTAAAACACTGTGAAAGGAAACTTGCTTACCAAAGAAAGGGGAGAAAACGTCTTTGACAGCAATCCAACAAGCTCGCGTCTTGGTAAGCACGCATAATCAAACGGGATAACTACTCGAGTAATCGTAACGCATGAATTATTGATTTTGTGTCAACTTGTCTCTCGATCTTTTAAAAGATCGAAGAGCTAACTGACATAAAATCAATAATTCGAGTGCATATATAAAATTATATTAGTTTAAGGGGGTGTTTTGAACCTCTTTTACATAATTCATGAGGTGAAAATAATATGAACCTTTTTAAAACTTCAAGGGACGTGTGAATTGAGGAAGGATATTTATGAAATTAATTCTTGTTCTTATGTGTAGTGGCTTGTTACAACTAACTAGCAAGGTAAGTGATTAGTAGTCACAGGATATAAGCGATATCTTTTTCTATTTTATTAGTTTTTTTTTCCTAATTAAGAAAATATATGGCAATTCAGATGCCTTTTTTTTCCCCTTTTTTACAACAATTTTGACGCATTCCAAGTCGCTTTTAGTTAATAACACTTCCTAAAAAAAAAATTGTCACATTTATTTTACTACTCTCACTGCTTGTTAAGTTCGAACCATGCACTAAACATGTAAAGCAAAGAGACATTTGATTTGAACCAACTAATGTTTTGACATAATGCACTTAAAATATTTCACGCACAACAACGTAATTCTCGAAAAAGAAATAAACACACTAATCGGAAATGCTACAACCATATCTGATTGCCGAGGCCATAAAATAATATAATGATCAATTTATCCCGAAACCTAAAGGAAACAAAGGAAGAAAGAAAGAAAGAAAAAACAAAAAGAAGAAGCAAAAGAAAAAATAAATAAATTTTTAGATGTAATAGCTTATTCTCTTTGCGCCATATTTTGGATATCCAAATCAAGCACAACTATGTAAAAAATAAAATAAACTCGAATACCATATTATTTACATATACCAATAAATACCGACTCATAAAGTTGTTAAGTCACTCCACTTAACAGATTAAGAAAAACACACAGAATTAGAACAAGAATAAGAAGGAAATTAATAGAATTTTAGATTTAATAGCTTATTTTCTTATCAAGCACAGCTACTCGGTGGAAGAGAAAGATCCAGCATCAGTGACAACGTAGGTTGAAAAGAGAGATGTATTGAAGCCATTGAAGCTGGACTTAAAAGCTGATGAATACGCACCCATGTTGGGAAATATAAGCCAATCATCCACCACAAGTTCCGGTAGCCAGTAGCCTTTCAGAACAATGTCAAGCGAATTACAGGTTGGTCCATACACCGTTGAGCTGAAGACCTCTTTGCTTGTCCCTGCAAGAGGCATGCACCTACTTAGATTTCCATTTCCGCACTCCAAAGCCACTTCCCCTGCCAAAGACCCATGGATTCCGTCGTTGATCCAATACTCTCTCGCCTCCCCACGAACCCGCTTCCCAATAATGTTGGTGGCCAATGTGAAAGCCGACTCGGCGAAAAACCGGCCTGGTTCCGCCATGAGGTTCAACCCTAACGCGTCAGTCATAAATTTTTGTCAGTAGGATAAATAATAAAAAAGATTATTCACACCAGTGCCCCTAACACTTTGAGACCATTCCTAATTTTCTCCTAAATTATTAAAATTCTTACTTTATCTTATGAATTTTGACTTTTAATCTTACTAAACCTAACTTGTTAGAATTTATATTAAAATCATTTAAAAAAATAAGAATATAGTCATGTGCTATTTTTCGCTTGTTTTTAATCGAAAATTTAATAAAAAGATGATCACATAATCGTATTAGCTCCTTTTTCCATTTATTTTTAACAAAAATTCTAACAAATAGAGTTAAGTGAGTTTAAATCAAAACTTAGGGGGGTACAATGAGAGTTTTTAAACTTTGAGAAAAAGATTGGAAATGATACGAAAGTTTAAATTGCACCAATCAGAATAATCTTAATAAAAAAGGTTTCATTCATTTCGTTAGTTTGAATTAGAATGTAATTTTATTTTTTGCTACAATGTTTACTCTCACAAAAATTTAAATTTAACCCAATCTGCTACAAGATTTTCTCCCCTATGAATTCACTTTTTAGTTCAAGCTCTCAATTCGAACCAATGAAATGAACGGAGCCTAACAAGATTATAAGATCAAGTTTTCATTGTTTAGTGTTTTTTTTTTTTAAGGAATTTTAGTGGGAGTTTTGTATTTTGATATAATAAATAACATATCTAAATATATGTTTAAAAAAAAAAAAAGTTGAGTGGGCGCTTGAGTTCCCCACTTGGGACTTACTTGGCTCCGCGTCAGGAAAATAAGTATGTATAGCGGCTCTAACCATTGAAGCCGCTTCCTCGAAGCTGCCTTGGCCGGCCGTGAAGCCGCCACCGATGTTCAACACTCGCATTTGAGGCATGCCGAGACGAGTAGCCAACTCGAAGGCCGCCTTGGCAGCCTCTATGGCGGCGGCATAAGCCCTAAAATTTTTTACGGCGGTTCCGACATGGAAAGACACGCCAACCACTGGGATCTGCGCCGCCTGTGCTGCCCGGAGGAGCGGGACGACCTCCTCGGGGAGCGCGCCGAACTTGGAATCCGAAGCTTGGCGCTGCACTCGGGCGTCTTCCGGGGACTTAAGCCGGATGAGAAGGCTGCTTTGGGGGTGCCATTTTCGGATCTTTTCCACTTCATCCAAGGAGTCGAATGTTGTTAGGTTAACACCTACAGTTGCGGCGTACTTTATGTGAGACTCCATTTTACAAGGGTTGGAGAAGATGATTCTGTCCGGACCAACTGATCCGAGGGAGAGGACGGATTCGATCTCGGCCCGGCTACCGCAGTCGAAGCCCGAGCCGAGCGCAGCCATGGCGGCAAGCAAAGTCGGGTCGGGATTGCATTTGACGGCGTAGAAAGGCCGAACCTCCGGGAGGGAATGGACCCACTGGTCCATGAGGTTTGCGACGGCGCCCAAATGAAGGACATAAAACGGTTGCTTAGTGTTTTGGACCTCGTTCTTGAGAATGACGGATTTTATGAAATTGTTGAAGCCGTCGTCTTTTGGAAAGACGGTAATAACCTTGCCGCTCAAAGTGGGTGCTTCCATTACAGCTTGGAGGCTCTTAGGATCCGACTCCATGGAAATACTAATACGTATTTGAAGAAAATGATCAGAGCTTATATCCCACTATCAGGCCGGCAATCTCACTATTAAGCCGGCAATATGGGTAATGACACACAACACGACTAAAAAATGACAAATTTTACGGATTAAGGTTGAAAAGAAAGAGATTCGGATCAAAATTGAATCGACTTGAAATTGACACGAAAAACACAGGTCGATTTAGGTTAAACCCGCCTAACCCGAACACGACACGAAACTCGTAAAAAACTAAAAAATACATATATTTTTTATTTATTATAAACTTGTGATATCATGATAGTTATATTCAAAATCTTATAATATTATTTGCTTAATTTTAATGGATGTTATTGTAATTTAGTGTGTTATGAATTTTAAATTACTTCTAATATGTAAAAAATAAATAGAAGTATACAATTTTCGTGTCAATTTCAGGTTCACAGGTCAATTTCGTGTCACGATTCATTTTCGTGTCATGTCGTGTCACTTGGTAAAGTGATCGTGTCGTGTTCGTGTTGTAATTTTTAAAATATTTTGTGTCACGAGTCGTGTTCAAGTTAACTGTAAATTAAAAAAAAATGATCAAAATATAATACAAACACGATAATACGAATTGTCATCTCTACTCACTATATATGGCTAGATAAGTTCACCAACGTATGAGAATCAAGTTGTGATGACTTGTGTAGCGCGTTAACGTGTTGCACGATATTTATCTTTTCAATATTTCTGACTTTTTTTTTTGTTTGAAGTTGCACGCCTACTTTTTCCAGGAATATGATATTAGTGATCACACCTTCCACGTATATAAAATAAGAAAAAATGGCTAAAAAATTTAGGAATGTTCTTTAGTCCGACAGTAACTATTTACCTGACTTATCTGATAAGTGATTTTTAGCTGTTCGATGGAAATGGACGGACGGGATTTATCACGTCCTTACAGAAGCATTCGTAGGTGCTAGCTTCTATACACTGCAAGTGACAGCTTTTATTGGTCATGTGTTTAATGAAGAGAAAAGGGAGAAGGAAGAGTGAGGTTGGTGGCCACATGTATATGTGAGAGACAAGGGATGATGTGAGAGACAAATGAGATGACTACAGGGAAAAAATATATTAAAAAAATGTGAAACCCAATTTAAAAAAAAAAGCTCTTTCTTTGGACAAAACAGAGAGAGGCTTAATTAGTAAAAAAAAAGTTAGGCTTAATCGTTTATGGAGGGGGAAAGAGTTTAGTAAAAGTAGCAGCTTTTACAGTTTTACAGTTGGCGAAAGAGCCATTCATACCACCTCAAGTTCTGAAATTAAATTGCAAGTTTAACAAAAGTGACTGGGCAAGTTTATTGAAAACACAGGCGAGCACTACTAGTGAGCTAACAATTGATGTTGGTGTCAGTTTCCCCAATGCTAAGGTTGCCATCTTTGAAAGAGAGTTCAAGACAATAGTTGCCTGCCGATATATGCGTGATTATGTGGATGGTCGACAACTTTAAAGAGGAGAATTGCTCATTGACTATTTATGAGAAGACGCTTGTCCCCACAGAGGAGTTGTTTGGTAAAATTATGGGTTTGTTTGATGGGGAGGATGACTTCGAACAGCAAGACACCGATGAGGAAGTGATTAATTAGAAAAAACAAATCAATAACATGAAATACAATAAATAAACCAATATACATATTAAGGATGAGTCTTTAAACCGGCACATCAATTTTACCTGACTGATCCGCTCAAAAATTGTGGCCATCAGATTTACACCTTTTGTACTTTTTACTTACTTGTTATCTACTATTTCTTGTACTTAAGGCTTAAGAAAAAACCCAGTTTAATTTGTGTTTCCATTTATGTCCTTTACCTTTCGTATTTTTTACTTATTTGTTTTCTACTATTTTCTCTTACTTAGGGCTTAAGAAAAAAAACGGTATAATTTGTGTTTCTATTTATGTTATTTACCTTTTGTACTTTTTATTTACGTGTTATGTATTAGTTTTGTGTTTCTATTTATGCCCTTATCAATTTTTGTATTTTTAATCTACTTGTTATCTATTGTTTTATCTTACTTAAGCCTTAAGAAGAAACGGTTTAATTTGTGTTTCCTTCTATGTTCTTCACTTTTTGTACTTTTTACTTATTTATTATCTACTGTTTTCTCTTACATAGAGCTTAAGAAAAAGTGGTCAAATTAAATAATATTTGAATTACGTTCTGAACATGACTTCCGAATCTACAAAACTCACCCCATCAAAATAAGCCATGCGGTCTAAATGTTAAGAAAAATAATAGAGTATGGCGATTAGTTAGAACTTATTTGTTTACATCATAAAATTATTTTTCTAATAGACAATAAATATCACAGTCAAATTCATGCAATTACACGTGCCTACTTTTACTAATTTCTTAAAAAAATGAAAATATTTTAAGACATTAAAATATTTAAAGGAAAATAATAAAATAAAAAGTTCATGATTTTTTTCTAGATTTATTAGATTTTGATTAAGTAAAAGAGTACTAAGGTTATTTTACATCTTAAAAATCAACTTCAGAGTATCAAGAATATGTTTTTAAAAACATTGAGATATCATTTTAATATTATCAAGAACACAAGATACTAAAAACATATTTCACTATATATATTGTCGCTTATATTCATTAACATGAAATACAACAAATCAGCCAATATACATATTTTTATGCCATGTGTTCACTTAATTGCTATAAAAAATACATGTTTCGAAGATTAATATACATTGTCGTTTCTTATAATTTAACATATATATATTTACATATAAATATACACGAAAACGGTAAAATTATACATCTGTCATTTTAATCCAGTAAACAGTGAGTGCCGGATTAAAGATCTTGCCAAAAAATTTATCCTTACAATGGATTTTTTTATATATTTTATTGATACTTTTGAACTTATATAATTATTCAACTAAAAAATAATTTTAAAGGGTATTTGTCATTTTTTTTTTCCAAAATTGTGAAAGATGCAATTGCCTTTCCCGAATTTTTAGTGAAAGGAGTACCTGACATTTCTTATGAATTCATGTTGACGTCATAACTTGATATTCCATATAACATGTATAAAAAAAAGTTATCTTGTCACCCCTAGTGAACAGAAAATAATAATAATAATAAAATAAATCTCATTCAGTTTGTCGATTTAAATTTTTAATTCGAGTTAAGATGTGACTTTATATGAGAGTTTTTAATTATAATAAAAAAGTTAAATGTGACTTTTTATGAGATCTTTTAACTATAGTAAAATTAAAATTAAAAACTCGAATCGATAAAATAAACAAAGCCGTAATCTTGTCTTTCAATTTTCTACTGTTTTAAGTATCAATACAAATTTATAACTTTCTCTTTTTTTTACTATTGAAATCTCTTGTTTGAAATAAAACTAGCTCATCCAGGAATGGTTTTTTCAATTTTCCTTCAATATCAAGACGGATAATGCTTCTCCTTTCTAGAATAAACTTCAACAATTCTCATCGTCCACTCTTACGAAACCTCAATTAGCTCTTAAGGAACTAAGCATTAGTTTATTGGTGGGTTCGATCTGATCAGAAGCACAAGAATCATGGTTTCACTTTATAGCACAGGTTTGGAGAGATAGTGAAGTCATTACGGGTGCTTCTATGGTGCCTTCACAACACTCTGTCTGTTCACAAATCTGTTGTAGCATTTACAATTTCAACATTTAAAATTCGTAAATACATCATTCAAATGCAGAAATTATCATATTCTTTTAAATTTCGCAAATCTATCGTAACTTACGTATTATTATGCAAATTCTGAAGTTTGAGCAAATTGTTGCAGCATGCTTCTGAGAATTCTCTTTCCAGCATCATAAAAGTTTACAATGTTTGATTTGGGACTTGACTCGAATATTTTATAGTGGATGCTCTCTTGACTCTGACTTCCCCAGATTGGAGCTCCTGCTGGTAGACTATCAAGCTTTCATTCTTGTGAGAAAAAAGAGATAAATATTCTTTAAAATACACGAGTATCTGTATTTTTATCTATTATTTTTAATTAATTAATAGTCTTTTTAATTAGATAACTATATTAATTAAAAACATATTAATCAAGAATAGTCTTTTTTGTTTAGTTTAAGCTTAATCTGGACAGATGCATCCTTTTTTCGTTTGCAATAATTTCGATGCTAAACTTTCAGTCATGATGTTTTGAGTCTCGATTTTGACAAGTTTTTATAATGTAACGGATGCGAAGCAATAAAGAAAAGTTAACGTACCAAATATAAAAATTTGAGATCATCTTTGAACTTTCTAAATAACAAAACATTTTAGGGTGTATGTGCAGAAATTGCGAGGAATTTTGTCTATTAATTAACATAAATTTGCTATTGGACCCATAATTATAAATAATTTTCAAATTTAACATTTAATTCCTTAAAATTATAAGTTCGAGATTTAAATTATCAGTATCAATAAATTATTGAGGTTTAATCCTAATTGTCTCCGGAATTGAACCGTATTAGTAAAGATTGTTTCATAAATTTATGTAAGTAAACATATTTTAATTTTTTTAAATATATATAAAATTTAAAATTTAGGGTGCATCATACGACTCATACATAATTCAGAGTGCATGAATGTAATTTACCTAAAAAAACGAGAAAAAAAAAAGAAAGGAAAAGAAAAGAAAAGTGCGTGCTTACGTAAAATCTTCGAGACAAGCCCGCGTAGCTTCAAGAAAAGAATCAAAGCGTCATCATATGATATCACACCAATTAAAAAAAAAAAAAAAAAAAAAAAACCAGTCAATCACTGCATTCCAATTCATATTTCTCTCTCTTTCTCTTTCATGCATATTTGTCCGCTCTCTAGGTAGACTATTGTAGTATCCGCCGCCTTGAACCCCAAACCCACATTCATACTGTGACTTTTCTCTTCCAAAAATGTCTGAAAGCTCCGAAATCGTCACCAAAGAAACCGACCCAAAAGAACCGCGAAACGTTTTCGCACTTTTCGCCAAGTTCAAGCTTCCACTGCCGTTTCTGAAGCCCAAAGATGGCCCCGTCGCCGAAGATGGACCGAGAGAACCAGTGGTTTCCGACGGAGGGACCGAAAGTCGGAAAGTTGATTTTGTGAGGATTCCGAAGGCGCAAGTGGCGGTTCCGCCTCCGGTGGCGGTAGAGAACGAAGAGGCTAACAAGACTTCGAATCCGATTATACTCTGGCAGGTTTGGGTTTTCTCCTTTTTTTTTTTCTTTTTGTAAATTTTGTTTGGTTGCCGGGAAAATGGAAGAAGAAAATGTTTTGATGGATTGACTTGTTATTACTCTTGTTTTGCTTATCGAGTATGTTCTTGAATTGAGTTGCGAGAATTTTGATGCTCTAGGAGTTGAATATTTGGGGATTTTGTTCGATTTAGTCGTTCTTTATGGTTCCGAGAACGTAAAAATTTAAACTTGCATTGATTAATCAAGAATTGTGTCTATACAGGAAAACTGTTGATAAGATGTGGAGGAAAATTGAAATTTGAGAGGTATAATTGGCTCAATGATGTTGCAACCTTGTATGCCTCTGATCCATTGGAGAGAAAAGTGTTGGAAGTTTTATGTTGAACAAAGTTGACTTAACGTAATAGCCTAATAGTAGATGTTTGGCAATGCAGAGATTATAGGATCAATAAGAAGGTTTTGCTAATGTGGCTTGCATTGCAGAGGTGAAGGATTGTGGTGTTATTGAAATGATTTTTTGGCGTTGGGGGAGTAAATTCTGACCACTAATGTTATAGATATATTTTAGATTATTTGTGTTTCTGAACACTAATGTGCTAGATATCTTTTAGGTTTTCTCTTTTTTTTTTTTTTTTTTTTTTTTTTTTTTTTTTTTTTTTTGAAAATTGTTTCTATAAAAAGGTTTGCATTTTTCCTCGTCGGTCAAATTTCTTGGACAATATTGGGGATCTGTGGTTGGTGGACAATGTAATGGCTTTTCAGAAGAAATTCTTTGTGGGGTGTGTGGCGTAAGAACATTAGGAAAAAAAAAATGTAATTCTGGAGTTGCAGTGATTTATTTGTCCTGTTCTTTTGCCTGGAGACATAATCTTATTGATTCAGATTGATCATGCATTATCACGTCATAATTCGGTTGTATGTTTCCCAACAATAATTTCAATGAAACTAGTTTTTAGTTTGGAGGCTGTTTTTGAACTCTGTTTGGACAATAATTTGACTAGTGCAGTTATCCCTTGAATTATTTAGGAACAAGATAGAGCATTCTGAATCATGTTAGATTGTTAGTTAGAAAGGCTTTGTTGAATGTCGATTCCACTACCATTTTTCCACTTTTATTGATGACTGATGGTTTTGTTTGATTGCATTTTCTAGTTCTGTTTTGTCAGCGTTGGATGGATACCTCATCCATATTTTTGTCTTGTACTTGTACTTTCTATAAGAAATCCTTTCAGTTTCTTAGCCAAAAAAAAAAAAAAAAAGATTTGTGCATTGGCAAGGTTGTCAGGACAAAAAATATTAGTTTTCGGTCTTATTGCTCTATTTTTATTGAGACTTTTAACAAGACGATTAAAGGGGCAGGTGTCCACGATATAAGTCAGGCCTTTCTAGTGAATATTTTTAAGCATTAACTCTGTGATAGCTAGGCCGGGCTGGAGCTAACAGATAACAAGGTGCAGGAGAGGCTTAAAAAATGGGCTGAAGATGAGGCCCAAGAAGGGGGAGCTCATGGGGATGCTGAAGCCCAAGAAGGGAGAGCTCAGGGGAAAACGACTGGTTTTAAGGGTCGTTTTGAGAAAAGGGGCAACATAAGGGCGAAGAGCAGCAAGGGAATTCTAGAAGAGGGATTTGGTGTTGAATGCGGAGCCAGAGCGCGTAGGACCCCGGGGTGGCTAGACGGTTTTGAGCTGAAGGGAAAACGTTGAGAGGAGCTAGAATTCCGGGTAGTTATGGGCAATTATGTTATGGGAGTTATTTTGCTATTTTCTTTTCTTTTCCATTTGTTCGGGGTCCCCATTGTAAGAAAATGGAGATATAAAAGGAAGAAGAGTTGTAATAGTGAAATCAGGTGAATAAAAGTTTTCTTTGAGGAGTTTCGCACTGACTCGAAGAGTGTAAATTCTACCATTTTTGTATCACCGGTGCTTTCATTGAGAGATGAAGAAAAAAAATGAGGAATGAGGAGATTGCTGAGTTGATGAGGGCAATGGAGACAAGCTTCAAGCAACACTCGGATGACCAGCTCGCGAAGTTTTCCTCCCTGTTGGAGCAACACATGGCCAGCATAGAGCTCTAAATTTTCCAGTGTGCACAAGCCAACCGTGGGACCCGACCGGAGACAGAACGTTCGGCGGAGCATGCGGAAGTCGAAGTAGGGGGTCACCAAGGTGGGGGAGTAAGGATGGGTGCAGCACCCACCACGATTGATATTCAAACTGTCCTGAAAACTCTTCGGGTGGATGTTCTGCGATTCAATGGGACCAACGTTGAAACCTGGATCTACAGGATTGACAAATTTTTTGCTCTGCACAAGGTGGAACCAGCGATGAGACTTGCCGTGGTGTCTTTTCATCTCGACGGTGAGCCCTCAACTTGGTTTCAGTGGATGGAAAAGGCCGGAGCAGTGACCAGCTGGGAAGTGTTCATTTACGAACTACGGAAACAATTTGGGTCCTCGTTCTATGATGATCCCTTGGGTCGCATTTCCAAACTGGTGCAGATTGGAACTGTTGCCAAATTCCTTTCAGAATTTGAAGGACTCATGATGCGAATATCAAGTGTATCCGAACCTTTGTTCCTTAATTTCTTTATTTGGGGGTTAAAAATTGAGATTCGTCGTGAACTATTGTTGCATAGACCTATTACTTTAACTGAGGCAATGGCTCAGGCTCAGCTGTATGAGGAGAGGAACGATGAACTAGTTGGACGGACAAGATAGGAAGGGTACCGTGCTGCTGAAGGCAGCTCTCACAGAGCTAGACAGACAGGGGCGTTTTCAGCTCCTCGTCAGGGGAATGTTGCAATTACAATCCCAAATCAAGGAGCTCCGTCTCGGGGTGAAATCAGGCTTCCGATCAAACGGTTGTCGCCAGCCGAGATACAAGCAAAGCGGGAGAAGGGGTTGTGTTTCAATTGTGACGAGAAATATCATATCAATCATAAATGTAAAAGTCGGGCCTTATTCATGTTTGGAGACGAGGAGGAGGAAGATCAGTCAGAGGCGGAACAACAGGGAACGGAGGAGATACCGGCTGATGACGACTTGGAGGTAAGTCTAAACACCTTTTCAAACTCCACTAATCCCCGCATATTCTGGATAATGGCTAAACATGGACATGAGGACTTAGAAGTTTTGATTGATACGGGAAGTAACAATAATTTCATACAAGAAGCACTAGTGGGAAAACTTGGGTTAAGTTGTAAAGAAAGCCAAGAAGTTCAAGGTTTACATGAGAAATGGGCAGTTTCTCGTGTGTGACAAGAAGTGTGTCGGGGTAGAACTTGTTCTCCAGGGAACTCGTTTTGAGGTGGATATGTTTGTTCTACCTATATGGGGATTGGATGTGGTATTAGGAATGCAGTGGCTGCGGACTTTAGGTCCCTGTGTACACGATCATGATGCTTTGACGATGGAATTTAAATGGCAAGGCCAGAGTGTGAAATTAGCCGATAATACACACCTTTCACCTAGGCAAGTTACCTTCTCACAATTGAATGCAATGGTTCAAGATGGCACTGTTAGGGGGGTGTTCACGTTGGCCGCAATTGAGGAAGACAACGAGGCTGTAGCTGCCAAGAAGGGAGAGGTAGAAGTGTTGGAGCAGGAACTGCCACCAGAGGGAAAAGGCTTGATCCAGCAGTTTCGGACAGTGTTTGAAGGGCCACGGGACCTGCCCCCCATTCGCAATGTTGATCATCGGATTCATTTGCAACTCGGATCTTCCCCCGTGAATGTGAGACCGTACAGGTATCCTTATTTTCAAAAGGAGGTGATGGAGCGGTTGTTTAAGGAGATGATGGAGTGCGGATTCATTCGCCACAGCACAAGTCCATACTCATCCCCGGTTTTGCTGGTCAAGAAAAAAGATGGGACTTGGAGGTTTTGCGTGGACTACCGTGCTTTAAATGCCCTTACCATCAAGTATCGATTTCCGATTCCTACAATTGATGAATTATTGGATGAACTTGGCGGAGCAGCAGTATTCCCCAAGTTAGATCTCCGTTCGGGCTACCACCAAATCCGAATGGATAGGAGAGATATTCACAAGACTGCATTCCGCACTCATGAAGGCCATTATGAGTTTGTGATAATGCCATTTGGCCTAACAAACGCACCATCCACATTCCAGACGGCAATGAATCAAATTTTCAAGCCTTATCTACGCCGATTTGTTATCGTGTTCTTCGATACATATTAGTGTACAGCAAGAGCTTGGAAGACAATGGGAGCCACCTTCGGGCAGTGTTGCAGTGCTTAGCGGATAGTGAATTCTATGCCAAGGGAAGCAAGTGCAGGTTTTTTCAAAGTGCCATAGATTACCTAGGTCACATTGTATCGCAGGAAGGGGTACGAGCTGATCCAGCCAAGGTGGAAGCAATGAAAAACTGGCCGCAGCCAAAGAATTTGAAGCAACTCAGAGGTGTCTTGGGCTTGACGGGTTACTACAGGCGTTTTGTGGCTCACTACGCGGCTATAGCAGCTCCACTCATCGAACTGCTTAAGAAGGACAATTTCCTGTGGGGCGATGAGGCAACTACCGCTTTTGAAAGGCTCAAGAGCACCATGATGGAGACTCATGTGTTAGCCCTACCATATTTTTCTAAGACTTTTGTGGTGGAAACAGACACCGCAAACATAGGCGTAGGGGCAGTGCTAATGCAAGACGGGCACCCTGTGGCTTATTTCAGCAAAAAACTGGGGCCTAAGTTGATGGGTGCGTCGGCCTATCTGCAGGAGCTGAGGGCAATGGTTGAGGCGGTCACTTAGTGGAGGCAATACCTCTTGGGAAGACACTTTGTCATTAGAACTGATCACAAGAGTTTAAGGGAGCTTCTCACCCAGGTTGTTCAGACCCCGGACCAGCAACACTATGTCCGGAAGTTAATGGGGTATCAGTTTACAATCGAATACAAACTAGGTTCGGAGAACTCGGCGGCGGATGCCTTGTCACGAAAACATGAACCATCAGACTATCAACTTAAGGCAGCGGTTTCTATGGGACAATTTGAATTTCTGGAGGAGCTGCGCCGCGAGAATGGAACTTATGGCGAATTGCTGGAGTTGCAAGGTTAGCTAGCGAACGGTACACGAGATGATTCAATTTTTCCTTTCGGAATGGCTTGTTGTTCCACAAGGGAAGGCTGTATTTAAGCAAAGATTCTAGGTTGAAGAGTAAGATGTTGCAGGAGTTCCACGAAACTCCCATCGGAGGCCACGCAGGAGTGGAGAGGACGTTTATGCGGCTAAGTGCCAGTTTTTATTGGGAAGGTATGCGAAAGGATGTCAAGGACTATGTGAGCAACTGTGTGACTTGTCAAACTGTCAAGTATTCAACCACAGCACCTAGTGGATTGTTGCAGCCCCTAGAAGTTCCCGAACGAGTCTGGGAGGATTTGGCCTTGGATTTCATTGTGGGATTGCTGAATTCAAAGGGGCACACTTCCATTCTCGTGATAATCGATAGACTCACCAAATATGCCCATTTGGGTCCTTGCCGACGAACTATACAGCCACCAAGGTCGCATAACTTTTTTGCGGAATGGTTATTAAGTTGCACGGCCTTCCACGCTCTATTGTCTCAGACAGAGACCCCATTTTTACTAGCCAGTTTTGGAAGCTGTTTGAGTTGATGGGCACTCGGTTGAAGATGAGTTTCGCCTATCACCCACAAACCGATGGACAAACTGAGGTGTTAAATCGCTACCTTGAGCAATATTTGAGAGCATTCACCGCCGACCAACCTAAGCTCTGGAGTACATACTTGCACTGGGCCGAATATCACTACCACACCTGCCATCATTCGGCCATTAGGATGAGCCCTTTCCAGGCTTTGTATGGCCGACAGCCTCCGACCATTCCAACATATGTCAGTGGTACTACCTCGGTACAGGCTGTTGATGAGGCTCTTACTGCTCGAGATGCCTTGCTACAACGCCTCAAGGAGAACTTGACACAAGCCCGAAACCGCATGAAACAACTGTCTGATCGAAAGCGTCGAGATGTGGAGTTTCCAGTGGGGAAGTTAGTGTTAGTTAAGGTGCAGCCGTATAGACAGTCGATGGTGGCAAGGCGTTTGAATTCAAAACTTTGCCGGCGCTACTTCGGACCTTTTCCGATCATTGCTCGGTAGGGCCAGTCGCGTATACACTAGAATTGCCACCAGGAAGTCGGATTCATCCAACCTTCAATGTCTCACTACTTAAGGAATTCAAAGGGGACAAACAGACAACTAGCTACCCACTGCCTGACGTGAGTAAAGCCAATCGTCCTCTTCTCACACCAACGGCAATCCTTGCTTCCAGAATCATTCATAAGCAGGGCACAGCCGTGAAGCAAATTTTGGTGCAGTGGTCGCATAGTCCCCTGGAAGATGCCACATGGGAAGACCTTGCGGAGTTTGGCCAGCTGTACAACTTACCCGACCTTGAGGACAAGGTCGATTTCAATGGGAGGGGAAGTGATAGTTGGGCTGGGCTGGAGCTGACAGATAACAAGGTGCAGGAGAGGCTTAAAAAATGGGCTGAAGATGAGGCCCAAGAAGGGGGAGCTCAGGGGGATGCTGAAGCCCAAGAAGGGAGAGCTCAGGGGAAAACGACTGGTTTTAAGGGTCGTTTTGAGAAAAGGGGCAACAGAAGGGCGAAGAGCAGCAAGGGAATTCTAGAAGAGGGATCTGGTGTTGAACGCGGAGCCAGAGCGCGTAGGACCCCGGGGTGGCTAGACGATTTTGAGCTGAAGGGAAAACGTTGAGAGGAGTTAGAATTCCGGGTAGTTATGGGCAATTCTGTTATGGGAGTTATTTTGCTATTTTCTTTTCTTTTCCATTTGTTCGGGGTCCCCGTTGTAAGAAAATGGAGATATAAAAGGAAGAAGAGTTGTAATAGTGAAATCAGGTGAATAAAAGTTTTCTTTGAGGAGTTTCGCACTGACTCGAAGTGTGCAAATTCTACCATTTTTGTATCACTCTGTTGCTTTAATATTGGAGTAGCTGTATTGAGCAAAGAAAAATATTGGAGTAGCTGTGTAGAAGTGATAATTTGACGTGTCTTTCGACCTATATTTTCAATGCTTCTTTGTCATGGTAGGGCCCTTTTCTTGTGTTGCCAGTCTGACCACTGACAATGCCTTTTCTCTAGCAGTTCTCTTCTATCATCTGGTTGCTCTGTGCTTTTAATCGTTTAACATTAACATATTTTCTTTCTTTGTACTTTGCTTAGAGCTGATTCTTTCCTTTTCTGTTGTGAAATTGTTTAGAGGCATTTGTGACTATCATCCATCTATTTATTGTGATCAAGAGCTTTCAACTGCATATCTTCTTGTTATTTTCTTTTCTGTTCTGGCTTCTGTAGCATATCTCTTGTGGTTTGTCAGGAAATTTTGCATACATTTTACTCCAGCGTCTAATGATGTAATGGGCCCATATCAATGAAACAAATAAACATGAATTTGATTAGCTAATGCCAGATGAATGTAAAATAATCTTTTCGTACATTTAAGTAGAGAAACACATTAAAAGATAAGAAACAAAAAGGAGGTGAAGGCTTCTGCTGGAATCTCAGTACATGTAAGGGAATCGTAATCTTTGGTTTAGGCAATTCCTTCTATGGTTGGTAAATTTACCTTTTAATTGGCTTATCTTTCAAAGTTTTAAGCAGTCCTAGCTGTTTGCTCTTCTTAACTTGTATAGAAAAATAGCTTGTGCTACTTTTGTCTATCTACGGATTTTAGCACTCAATGGGCTGGTTTTCCGGTTTGCCTGTGAAATTGGTGAAAGGGTCACATATTCATTATACTTTGGACTTTAAGAGGAACAAAGACCAGTAAGTAAAGTTCTTATCTACATGTTCGTCGAAGAAGAAATTAGAGTACAACTGTTTTGGTTTCTGGACGGTTGATCTATTACCTGGCTATCATCTTCAACTAAAAGAGAGAACGAGAGAGAGAGAGAGAGAGAGAGAGAGAGAGAGAGAGAGCTGTAAGACCATAAAAATTTCCCGTCAACAAGGTAGTATTCTTTTTCTTCAGGTTATTAAATCGTTTCTTGTGCTCAGGTTTATGCACTTGGAGGGTTTATGGTTATGAGGTGGATTTGGGCAAGATGGAATGAAAGGAAAGGCAGAAAGGAGAATTCTTCTGAAGACGATGACGATGAGCATTTAGATGAATAGGTGTTAGCCTTACCGTGTGAAATCCTTGAAACATCAGAATTTTGAGAACAGAATTATTTGTATTTTCAGTTCTTAGTCAAATTATTATCTTTCCATATGTGCTTGCAATCATTGTTTTTGTGTAATTTCCATGTTGGTTGCAGATCGTGTAGTTTCATGCTATGTGGTGTTTTTACCTCGTACGTTTGTGCAATATTACTTAAGAAAAACACTTCAGGACCACATTGTATCAGACTCTAAGCAACTCAAATGAGTGGTTCGATCCATCTAATATAAGATTAGTAACCTTAAAAAAAAGTATTATCTTCCAGGGGCATGTAAAGGGTAAAGCAAACCCGAGTTGCACATTATTTAAATACAAAAACAAACACCAACTTTTAAGGACATTATAAGTCATGTTACTTAACAGAGACTTTTTAAGATAGAAGTTTAAGTTTTTAAAAATTCTAATTTTTATAGTGTGCATGTTATTCCAAATGTTTTTTTTTTTTTTTTTTTTGTTTTAATTGGATATTCAAAGGTTTTTTTTTTTAAAAACTTTGTTGATAGGATATTCCAAAGGTTTTTCATGTAATTGTAAATACATGGCTCGGATTTTCCTTTGAGATGCAAACTGAATTTCGTTGTAAAGTAATTGACTCATTGGTCGAACACAAATTCTCTCACATAATCTTCGATAAGGATGGAAGCATGCGCCATATCTACGTGAAAAATGTATTCCGCAACTCAAGTAGCAATAACTTGGGATTGCTTTTATTATTGTTATTATTCTTTACTGCTGTTGCTTTTGGAGTGAGCTTGGAGTTAGTTTTTAGCAGTAGAGTGAGAAATGTGTTTTATTTACTCTTTTTTTTTTTTTTTTTTAAAAAAGTAAATTGTTGCTTGCATGCAGATTCAAGGCATACAAAAGCCTACCTAATCTTGAGCCAAAAAATAAAATAAAATAAAAATAAAATAAAAAGGCCTATCATAATCCCCTTGACTGGATATCAAAATCTTTTTCACGAGGATTCCTCGCAAAATACCACAAATGAAGAAATTGGACAGTGAGTTTTGGGGCCACGGAGAATACTCTCTTCTAAGTAGGGATATCTAAAAAAAATACATAACACGGTGTACTTCTGGTTCTGGGGCACTATCGAAATGGATATTAGAATTTATCCTCGGAATTAGTATTATAAAGCATAGCATTAGAATTTAGGTAGGGATGGATATATAAAAAAATACCCTAGAGTTTTTTTTTTTTTTTTTTAAATTTTTAAACAAGGGTAGTCTTTGTATGTGAACTCCGAAGGAAAATAAATGAAAAATAACAAATAATCCATTTCGATAAAAAAAAAAAAAAAAACACAAATACATGATAAAAAAAAAAACCCCACAAGGACAGGCACAGGCGCCTCCTTCTCTTACTCTCACTCTTGCCTCGCCTGGTGGAGGGGTTTTTGTTTTAGCTTCACATCTGCAACTCTTCTTCTTCTTCTTTTTTCCCAGAAACCAATCACAATTTTGTGTCAGTCTTTTTGTCTGCTTTGTTTTCTGGTTTGTTTCTCACTTAGAAATGGCTCTGCTAGTGCGACGCATTCTAATGACAAGCCTGCCACAATCTTTATCTTTACCACCACTCAATAGCAACAACTTCATCACAAATCCTCGTAATTCCTTGTCTCTTTTACCAAATCTGCACAATCCATCTACTACTAATACTGCTGCTAGAAGAAGAAGAAGAAGGAGATTATTAGTAGTATCAAAAGATCCCTCCAACGAAACAGATAATGAAATTGAAGACGACGATGATGACGAACCCAAGATTAATGATCCTTATTCAATGGATGAGGAAGAAAGACGCGAATGGAGAAGCAAGATTAGGCAAGTAATGAGCAACATTGAAGATGACGTTGAAGAGGAGATTGACCTTGACCAAAGGAGGAAGAAAATGCAAGAACTTGTGTCTCAATACCCTCTTGTTGTTGAGGAAGACGACCCCGAATGGCCCGAAGACGCTGATGGCTGGGGCTTCAATTTGGGTCGCTTCTTCGACAAGATTACTATCAAGAACAATCCCAAGAAACAAGACAGTGATGATGATGAAGATGGATACGACAGTGAACAAAACGAGATTGTGTGGCAAGACGACAACTACATCCGTCCTATCAAAGACATTACCACCTCCGATTGGGAGCATACCGTTTTCAAGGACATCAGCCCTTTAATTATCCTTGCTCATCATCGCTACAAAAGGTTTTGGTTTTACTTTGAACCTTCTCCATCTTTCTTTTCCAACTAGAAAGCATTTTTTTTTTCTCTTAATTGTCTGTCTATTCGCATTCCCATTCCCATTCGCAGGCCGAAAGAAAACGAAAAAATTCGAGACCAAATAGAGAAGGCTGTGCAAATCATCTGGAACTGTGGGCTACCTTCTCCAAGAGTAAGCTAGCAACCAAATCTAGTACCCGTTTATTTATTCCTTGACATGGCATTTGTATTCTGTATAATTAAATTTAATAACGTTTGTCATGTTGTGCAGTGTGTTGCTGTTGATGCTGTCGTTGAGACTGATTTGGTCTCTGCTCTTAAAGTGTCTGTCTTTCCTGAGATGATTTATACCAAGGCAGGGAAGATCTTATTTCGTGACAAAGGTAACATCAACTCACGCCATTGCTTGTGCCGTGCGTGTGTGTCTGCTGTTTCTCTTCTTGGCTATGCCTTTTTATTGTCTATTCTCAATTCTTAAATCCTATTTTGCTGTTACTCCAGCAATTCGAAGTGCGGATGAGCTCTCAAAAATAATGGCGTTTTTCTATTATGGAGCAGCAAAGCCTCCTTGTTTGAAAACTGTTGGAGATACCCAGGAAGTGATCCCTTCAGTTCCTGTTAATGCCCCGCCATGAGTAGAATAGATGAGTTATGTATAATACTTTGTGATATTTTGTTGTTTCATCTGTATATCCCAGATTTTTCAGTTCTATATGGAAGTTTCTTTAGAATGAAATCTCTGTTATTCTATTAAATATCTGCCTGCTAGTGTGCCAAGAACTAAGGGACACTTGAATGTCCGGACCTGAGGGGGTCCACTCTTTTATTTCAACAACGAAATGCCAAATAAACAGTACACGTTCCAAACTGGAAAGACACCAACTTTTTTCGTTTATGAGATTATTTGTCATATTTAATGCATATAAATATATGAAACAGAGTTTGGCCCTGAGCTAGTTGTTATGAATGCCGCAACAACAAAACGCTTTGTGGTAATGAAAGCGAAAGGCGAAGAGCTGGGCAAGATTGGAGCCATCAAACTTGCAGTCATCAACACCTAGTTTTCGTTTTGTGCTCTTGCCTCCAAAAACTGAGAGGCATTTTCCCGTACTGTGTGACACCCAGAATCGGAATCCATGGTGGTTTAGTTTCTTTGGTGGATTAACTGATTTCCAGTCGGCGTCCCCTAAGCTATGAAGAGAGCTCAATGAACGGAGACTCACTTTGCCATGCTCGTCCACTGTCAGATAGCTTTGCCCTTTTGAGCACTTGTCCATGTAATTGCTAAACCTGTATCATATGTGGTACACAGACCGAGTGAAAGGCACACATGCTTTCTAGTACTGTGTTTTTGTTTAGTACATGTAATTCCTTTCCTGTACTTATTTCATGACATGAGCATGTATAGAATAGAATTTACCTGTGGTAGCCTGAAGCTGAACCGGAAGAAGAATTCCATCCAAAATAGGCATTGTATTCTGTGGACTGACCACCTTTGATATTTGGTACCGCGTAAATGCCTCTGTCGCTCAAAGGCACATAATCAGATTGCAAAGCAGCGGCAATAAGAGAATCATCAAATGCTGTCATGTGGGGGTAATCTTCATTAGGAGGGCATTTCCTTGATTCACATTTGGAGCATTGTCTGCATAGATTCTCGCTTTTTAAATCTGCAGCATTCATCGTTGCGCCATCATCACCGTAGGCGCTGCTATTTAACACCACCAGGATAATCAGGCACACACCCACCACAATGAGTCTGTCCATTCTCAGTTCTTGAATTTGTTTCTTGCTTTCTCTTGTTAGAGGTTAGTAATATTTTTTTGTGGCTCATCAAGCTGACCATGCTTATATATACAGAACACATTGCCTAGCTTTTGTTGTTGTTTATTGATGTTATCAACTCCTTTTTGTTTCCAAATGGTAAAAGGGAATTCAAGTTGCTGTCACAACGAAGCTGACAATTTATGGTAGAATATAAAATGTGCAATTGTGAATATGTAATGGTCATAATAGCTTGGAAGAGGTTGTCCTTGTTTGCCTTGGGTTGAAAACATCGACAATTTTGGTCTTATATTTCTTTAGTGATTCCAGTGATGCTAATGAAACCTTTTTCTATTATTTACCTCTGAGGAATAATGATCAGATTTACGACCCATACCGTATTTGTTGGTTTATAAATTAAATATTGTGCTTTTGACCTGGACGCTTAGGCTATCTGTGCAGTTAGCAGCTTCATTTGCGTGCATGGATATGTTTGTTGGAGGTCATTTAATTATTGTTGTTTTTAACATAATAACTTGCACATACTTGTCAGACGACCATCAACAAACACTTTCATGCTATATATAAAAACATAACACGGCAAATCTAAACCATCGCACAGCGTAAATTACCGTTTCACCGTGCCATATTTTTCAAAAAGTTAGCATAGATATTTTGCACTAACATGTTACTCCGGTACATTTATACATGTATCTGTGAATCTACACGTCCGTGTATCACTCAGAGATACCAAATATAACATCATATTTGGTACCAAATATAACATCATATACCACCAAATAGTTGTGGTGATAAGGACGCCTTTGTTAAGTCTCATCTGTCCATCCTTTCAGAGTTCGATACTACGCACTCACGCTTTGCTGGTCTACCTCTTGTGAGAGATGAAGTGAGCCTCCACGGGCCTCACAAGATGGACGGGATTAAAAACCGGTTGGATAATCAATAGAGACTAATTTAGACAATTTTCATATACTCAGTGGTCCCCGGAATTGCTACTATAACTGAAGGCTAGAGAACATAAAGTGCACCATCAGATCTCTTTTTTCATTCAATATATATATATATATATATATATATATATAACATCATATGGCAATCATGAGGCAGAAACATGGGATAAAGAGCCTTACAAGAAACTTTATTTACTCTTTTTTTTTTTTGCTACTAAAAATATTCAACAAAATAACTTGGTGAAGAAAGTTACAGCACATTAATAGATAGACCGAAACCTGTACAAAGGCCAACCTTATTTGGGAAATGAATGGCAATGTATTCAGCTGTCTATGTTTCACTTATTGAAAATTGAATGCGATGAGGACCACCAAAATACAAGCTTCTATTCCATGATTTCCAACTCTTTGTTCTTGCCATTTCTCAAGAGTCCATGCCAATAAGATGGTCCAGAGCTAACTCTATATTCTCTGTACAGAGTCCCGAGACCCATCCCGAAATCCAGGGTCCATTTGACGGCAAGCTTCGAAAAAGAAAGGGGGGAAAAAGAAAGAAAAAAAGAGCCTCTGAACTACTCTAACCAAGAGATCTAATTCTGAACTGTATATGATGATCTACTATGCACTGTGAAGAGGCAAACTTTCACCGATTCCAATTGATGGACTACGAAAAATTCATCTTAAACCAGAAATCATTCGGGCTGAAAGTAACCATCATAAATAGAAAGTCGGTCAAATGCATCAAAATTTGCCTTCATTCCGACAAATTGGCTGCCGAGCTGAGCACATCCTGCATCTGGCCACTTGCAGCCTCCGTCTCGAGTGCGTAGCGGACATAAGGTTTCACACACTCGACTAATTGGATTGCCAGGAGCAACATCATCAGCTGCAACTGTAATTGAAACGGAGAGATCGGATTTCTCATCGTTCTGCATGATACTTTCTGATTCTCTCCTTGAAGGAGAATAATTAAATTTCTGTGGAGCAACAATCAAGCTATTTTCAATATCAAGAGTGCAATCACCACTTCGTGAGAAGTGGACCTTGCATCCAAGTGATTGTATTGCTCGCTTTAAAGCCTCACTTTCCTTGCCGGCTCTCTTGGCCAAGCTCATAGCTGAGCTGCTGACATGCTTTACATCTCGTAATTCTGCACTTAAAGATTCCATTGCAGTGGTTATTTCCCTAGCTTTCTTTTCTGCAGCTTCTTTTTCCTGTAAAACAATGCATGCATCACGCAAAAGTTTATAGGATTTTCCCTAGAAGCATGTTAACAATTTACCATATTCTTGGATGAAAACCCAATAGTGTAACATTCATTTGAGAATAAGTATCCCCTGTGAGACAACTGGTAGACCTTATCTATATGAATAGTTTCAAAGTAAACCTCAAGATTTGATGTATTTATACTATTTGGCTGTCCCACAACTTAGCTTTTTATAGTCAGGTCTCCTAAACACATCATACTAACACGATGACGAAAGGCCTTAGGTTTACCTATGATGATGTTAACTATGTATCCTTTGCGGTTTTTATAGGTTTACCTATTACGCTTGCCTCAGATTTCTTAATAACAAAAACCCAAGTTACTAAAGTGATTGGTTAATACGGTAGAATCCGACAAGATCAGAGTAATCTATTACACCATCGAATCGGATGAAATAGGATCAATGTCATAAATATTAGATAGATGAGGTGCAGATGGAAGCATATAGACTTAGGATCAAAGTGGCAAACTTGTTAAATAAAAATGCTTAAGACAACGGTTAATGTATCCTGGAAAGTCGCACTTAAGGTTAGATCATTGATATTCAGAATTTCATTTATATTGAATTTAATCTTTATCCTATATTATTTTGCTGATGGGGTTGGAGGAAATAACAGGTTTTTGATACAGAAAAAAAAAAATTAAAAAAAAAATTTTAATAAAAAGCTGTCATTTCCTCTTAACCCATCAGCAAAAATAATATATAATAGAGGAAGGAAATAACAGCTAAAGAAATGATAAAACGTATTACCTTCTGCAATTCGGAAAATTTAAAAGCCATCTTACGGCATTCAGCTTCAGCTTCTGCAGCTTGTGCTTCCGTGGGACAAGACCAACGAAGATGGAACTGAGGCCAAAGAGTTGGTGCTAGAGCTGCAGCTGGTGGCAATATTGGACCATCGTGTTTCAGTGGATCATAAAAGAGGTTATAGTGCACATGTGAATTTCCTTCTCCAACACGTAGCTCAACCAAATATGCCCACAAGCATCCAGAAGCTTCAGAAATACCACATTGCTGCCTCTCTTTTTCACTAATTTAACATAAGCAATCAGTATAAAGGTACTTAGCAACCAGCAAACTTAATGCTATAAGAATAGAAGAAATCTTCACGGTCCATTGATCACATCAACATCATTGGGTTGCATTTGCACCAAATAAAAAGTTCCATGTAATTAAAAAAAAAGGAAAGCAAAAAAAATTAACAAAGGAAAGAAAGAGCATACTTAGGCTTTGTTTAGGATAACTACTTCTAGGCTGTTATTTGTTGGGAAACAAAAAAATAAAAATAAAAATAAAAAAGAGAGGAGGAGAGATAGGCTTTAAATTAGTGTCGGAAAATTTTCATTAAAAACAGATTAACAAGACACGATGGCGATGTTTAAATTTGTTATCAAGGGACAAGAGAGTAGCTTTTAAAAGTTTCACTAAATTCTTCACAATTTCCCCTTCTTCTCTTAAAAATCTTTTTCAGCACATTTCACCAAGTTTTAACTCAAGCCCCTTACAAGCCCAGACCATCTTACATGGCAGCATACCAAAACCACTTCTCCTTAACAGTCCACTCTACGGATCATCTTTTGACCTTTTGAAAACTTAAAAGACATTTTATTAGAACACTAACAAACTATTGTCACAAAGAGAGAGAGAGAGAGAGAGTAGGAAAAAACAAAGGAACAAAAACAAAGAGTAATAGCAATAACAAGCAAGATCCTAGTATTCTTGTGTTCTATCTTCACAACAATTCATCATATTTTCTAGTTTACCGGCAGTGAGTCAAGTCTCAAATCATTTCAAACTTTTCTCTGATATCATGGCATCCAAACGACTCATAATTATAACCAACACACCAATATATCATAACTCGCCTCACTTTATGCAGTACGCATCCAACAGCAGATATAATTTGTAAACCAGTGCACTGTTTCGCAATCTAACTTCTCAAGTAGAGACGTGTAAACACACACATTGGAATATAATTAGAAAATAAGATCATAGCCCTTTAGTTAAACTTTACTACAATGAAATTTCTTAAACTTATTCTTTTGAAAAAAAAAAAAAAAAAAAAAAAAAAAAAAAAAAAAAAGAGTTGTTTTCAAAGATATGGAAGGACACATTAATAATAACTAGCTTTTTCAATATATTTCACATCTAGCTGTCTATCAACAAGAGGGAAAATTAACTGATACTGATACCCATTAAAGAATAGAATAAATAGAGAAAAATCAAGTAATTGCACCCCAGAAACCAAAAAGGAGTACCTACCTATTACACAAGAAGTTCCCAAAGCGACAGGAAAGCACACAATCCAAGAGATCCACTAAGAAAGCCTACATCACCAAAAGTAAGGGAAGGTTACTTTTCTGTCCAAGAAAGGGAGAAAAAAGTAAAGGAAGGAGATGATTTTCATAAACGTAAAATAGAACACCCAGCCATTTAATTGAAGTGGAAAGTTCACATGCCGAAGAAGGATACATACTGATGAGAACTCGAAAGCAAAAGGATACATCCGCAACAATTGTGAAACACAATCAATCCACTGCACAAAAATTGTGATCAAATAAGTGCCAAATACAAGGAAATGTCAAAAACCACCTGAGTTCTTGGACAAAGCCTCATCTTGTTAGCTAGCACACCAGTTGACCCATTACAGGAGATAAAAGATCTCCATTAGTCTTAAGGTTTAAAGCATAAATTTCCCAATATCAAACATTAGTTTAACTAAGAAGCAAATTTGTCTCTTCCCATTAGGCTTACTTAGGGCCCAGCAGAATTTTATGGACTGGGAAGAAGTCATAGTCAGCTGAAGGCCAGATGAGTCCCCTTTGGAACTACAGTCCTGCTCTGGGAACCCACCCATGCCCTGCACAGCCCCATTCAAATTTCACAGAGATCTTCTCTGTAATAGAAGAGCCCGTAAGGATTCAGAATTCACTTTTTACAAACCAGACCTTTCAAACAAAATGTTGAGCCCACCGCGTTATATATTCTGTTACCTATGCCACGAAATGCAGAAAACAATAATTCTTGTGGAAAGATGAAACTTTTTTATGAAGTCATGAACTACGCCAACAAAAGATTGTCAGCATAATATATCCCTAGTACCTAAAGATGATAATGCACGCACCTGCAAAAATATGGGAGAATAATTGTTTGAATGATGCGACGAATTAGGATTTTGAGATCCATAGGATCCTGATGGTTGGCGCATGGGTGATGACGAAAAACTTCCAGTGGAAGACTGCCTTGATAATTCAAAAGGTACATTCACACCACCAGATACAGTTGGCAAGCCCACACGATCTGAAAATGGATGGCCAAATGCGAGCCAATCTTTTTCAACAAGTGCCTACTCAAAATATATATTGAATTCATGAGGTCATATTCCAGGCAAATACATCCAGTAACAAAGGCAGGGAGACGGGAATCAGATTCCGGTAAAGATGTGATTCAACCAAGTTTTAAACCAAACACACACACACACACATTAATACTACAAAGAACATAGCAGAAAAATCTATATATTGTACAATTACTAGGAACAACATTCAGCAGATTCCTATAAGTGCCTCTTAGATAATTTTCAGTGTCTCATAAGACTTGAGGCTAAAACACAAGAACATGCAACTGAAGAAGTATATTTAATGTCAAGATTATACCTGAAACCCTGTGAAAGTTCGATAATATGGATCAAGCATCAAACTGGCAAGCGAAACGAGTTGAGTTGTTCTATCCCAACCATCACTACAAAAATGGGTCATGAGAACGTTAGAAATGGCATCATATTGAAAACACCAAAACGTTACTGTTTCTATGAATAAACAACATCAAAATGCCTCACCTGCAATGAACTAGTACAGATGCTGATTCTAAAGCAACACGTGCAGCAATCCAAGCTGAGCCAGCCAAGATACTTTGTATATGTATTAACCAACCACTGTCTCCAAGACTCGATACTGAAACAGACATACTGCTGAGATTGCCTCCACCCCAGGTCCACCCACCATGTCTCTGTCAACAGTCATGGTACAAAACAATCTTACTTTCTTGCTGAAGTTTGGTAAAAAGTCATAAAGAAACTTCACATTCTCTGTAGTGTGAATCCTTGACAAGATTTCATTTTTAAAATTTATTTTGACGAACACCAACAACATTTAGGATTTAACTTGAATCCTCAATAACATTTCATATTTTTTTTTTACTTAATTGTGGCAGACACTCCTAGGGCCTTTAGGATTATATCGTTTAACCCTTCTTATTCTTTTTATAAGAAAAACCTTTCATTGATAAAAATCAATTACAAGGAGAAAGGATAAAGTATTCTCAAACAAGAACTAAATGTCATGGTTGATGCTCATAAAATGATGAGTCTATAACAAGACCGACCAAGAATGATGACATTCCATCTGATGAATTTGCACCATGTGTATCCAAGTAGTCTCTTAGCCGAGCAAAACTATCTCGCATCGCGTGGATGTTATCTATCCCAAAGAAAACTACCTGGTGAAATATAACAAAAAAAGAAATTAGCAAAACCATGATGCCAACTTTTATTACTAAAATTTCCCTCCAAAAAAATTATTCACCAAGTGAAGCATTAATGGAATTCTCAAACCTGAGACAGACCTCAGATTGAAAATAGTTTGAAGAGGACTCCGAGCCACCTCCCATTGCACTATTAGCCAAAGCATTTTTTCTAGGTCTAGCATCAGCTATGTATAACTTCCTGGTTGAGGAGGGAATCAATAAAATTAACCCAAACAATACAGTTTTCTGGAGAGGGGGAAAGAATCAACTGTCAGCTGAGAAAACAAAACCAATAACAGGTCAACCCTTATTCCTTACCTCCTTTTTCCCCCTGCACCACCAAGTTGAGTACAAAGTGCAGCAACAAGCTTCTCATCAGTATTGCTGCAAAGAAAAAGGAGAAAATGTGAACTTGTACAAATTCTTGAAAGTAAGCAGTCATCTCTTTGCATACGTCATTTGGTATATAGTGGTTTTATTTTGACAAATTACCTCCTCATGTTCATCATAAGACCAACTAATGGTTGGGATGACCGCGCAAGAACTGCTCCCGTTCCTGTAATTTGCCATGTCAACAAAGATGAGAATAAAAATTGTGACAAAATATAGAAATAAGTAAGGTTCACCGCATACCTGGATGACACCACGTAATTACAGGCAATCGACATCTTGCTCGAAAGCTGGAAGCTTGAAGCAAATCATCATCACTACCATTTGCAGCAATCAAAGTGTCATTAGCATAATTTGTATATCAAAGTAAACCTAATCAATGGTTGACAATGACATCAAATCAGAAGCGAAAACAGATCGGATGGGTCTCAAAAGTCTTACGTAATGCAACTTGGTACAATCAAGGAAAATGGATAAGTCTGGCAGATTGTATAGCTGGAATTTACACTACTTATTCTCCATAAGTCATTGGACAATGTGAAAGAACCATCTTCAACCATGCTTACTGATGCATGGGAAAAGCCCTTTCCAAGAAGCCGAAAATATTCATTTAATAATCGCAACTGTGGGTTAGTGTTACTGAACTTGGAAGGCCCAGAAATTAAAGCATAAAGATCCCAGAGTCTTGGTGGCTTCGCACACCTCAACAATGCGTCAAATACTGCACGTCTCTGTAGGTGCCAAAATGTATTAGATCAAACCAGAATACATGAAAGAAGCAGCCAACATAACACTGATTTCTGAACTCACTATTATGATTTCTGAACTCGTTATACTTCCACTTACAAAAAAGTTAACACAAGCATAATAAACCACTTTTGAACTATAGAGTTGACTTGAAATTCAGAGAGAGAGAGAGAGAGAGAGAGAGAGAGCAGAAGAAGAAGAAGAAGAAGAAGGACTACAGACAAACAAGGAAGTTCACTGACTAACAAGAAAGAATGTATTTTACGCTGCAAAAAGACAAAAGGCATATACTCATGAAAATCTTGCTAACTACAGCAAAGTAAAACGTCCAACTAGTCTCAATTTAATGTAAATTATGTAATAAAACAAAGCTGTCTGATCGATGGTCATATAGGAAGCATAACTCCAAAGTCAATTTGAGAAAATGTGGCATGCGCCATAGTTTGACTCCTCTTTTAGACTATTGACACCATGACAATGAGTTTGAAACATCCATTGTCCCAAAGAAACACGACACTCAATCCGCTAGATCAATCTGCAGCTACCCTCAAAGTAACTTGCCATCCATGAATGTTTACATCTCACATGCCGTATTAGGATTCAAAAGCACTTGACTTTGCAACTAACAGATCACAGAAAAATTTGCAAGCAAGCACCTCGGTCGGATAAAATGTGTGGTTGCATGTTATTGTTGCTCATAAAAATACTCAGAGTGCAGAATGAGACTCCAAAACTAATGTATAGTAAAGACATCATTATGTAAAGCGTGAAATTCTCCATCCTCTTATTATATGATTATTAAATGATAAACAAACATTGAACATTCTCAGAGCTTATGTCTTACAATGAAAACATGCCTCTGATTGCAATGTTGGCATCCGTAACCATGGATATAATAATTGTATTATCTCTATTTTATGTACTATTGCAACCAAATGCAAATATTAAAGATGTGAAATTAATGAGCTATGAGATTAGAACCAAATTAATGAGCTATAAAATTGGAACCAAATTAATGAGCTACATAAAAACTTTTATCAAATGACTACTTCCAGGAAAATCTGATTCACGCCATGCACGTAGTAGTAATAAAAACAAAATATAAGGAATTCAATATTAGAAAAAGAGGAGGAGGAGGAGGCACCTGCTTTGTTCGAGGTCGAAATCCAAAGACAATAATTCTCATGTCTTTCCCTGAAAAACAGATAACAATCCTTTATTTCTCTCATTGCCTTCAGAAAGAAGCAACAACTGATAAAACAAAATGCATTTGATTTTGTAATGTAAGCAAAAGAAACTACTGGGGACATGTATTACTCAACTAGCAAAAGATAATCACCTATTCGAATCTTTTTCCTTCGTTTAAATTGTTAAGGTCTTTCCCACATTTTTCCCATTAAAATATAGGCTCCTACAAGTATTTGGAGTATTTATTCTAACTTTCAATTTCTGATTTCCATAAGTCCAAAGCCATTTAAATTGGTAAACTCTTGCTGAATTCATACCAGACAAATTCCACAACATTATATCGCATCGAAGGCTGAAAATACATGAATCCGTTACAAGTTAATTCTTGCAATGTACCACACGTGAGCGCGCGCACACAGAGAAATAGAGAGGACCTAAATGAAGTCTGAAAGTACTAGTTCTTATGCCAAAACCGGGCAAGCTACTATATGACTACCCACCATACTAATATTAACTGCCACCATGTTATGACATCACATATCTTTTAGGTAACCACATAGTATTCCAAACACCATGTTGTAGAACATAGAAACTATGTTAAAAATGTTGTCAATCATCATAACATGAATTCACAATTTGACACCAAATTCAGGAAAACAAATGAGGATGATTTAAAGAAATATCTAAAAGCATACCAATAACCTGGAGAAGTCGTCGAGATGGACTCTTGTCAGACTGGCGAGGAGCTGATTGCATCTTCGAAGCCTAAAACTCCCAGAAATGATGTATTCAATACACAAATTACTTCAGTTTAAAATACATACATACATAAATAAATAAATAATAATAATAATAAACCAACATCTAGCCGCAAAGCCAGAATACATATGTTACTTTTATTCATGTCAGATAATATTGCAATAATATTTACATATTTGATTTTTCTTCTACCCAATATTTTGATGTCAAAAAAGTTGGAAAAAGTAAAATAAAGTCTTCTAATGAGAAAGAGAAGTGAACTTGCAAATAGTTGATAATTTAGTTATTAAAAAAAATGAAGCAAATAATTATGTTCAACTGTTTCTAGAAAAGTAGAACAAGGTGATGCGTGAAGAGGATGCTAAAAGGTGAGAATCCAACAGTAAGTTGATGAATGATTTACTCTCTCCACACAATTTAGTCGACCAAATGTACAAGACTACAACCATGAAAACTTGAATTCTCAACCGTCTTTTATCGGACAGAAAACAATGACAAGTCACTAACTGAAGCTGGGTTATATGTGGAGGAGTGAGAAAAGTTATACAATAGCAAAACATAGAAAAATAGCTCACAGTGCATGAAAATGACTTCTCTTAAGAAATGCAGCAAATACCTCACATCAACACACTCAGCAAATAATATTAAGACACTTCTCTCATGATTTAAGGGGAAACATGTGAATAATATATTTGCAGATCCAAGATAGCGTTTATATCTAAATCTAAATTCTAAAAAAGTTCAAACACAAATTTATAAGTAAAAAAAAAAAGGTTTTCCTCCACAGAACCCAAAATAAATTCCTCCTCCTGTAAGTTTTTTATTTTTTGATAATAAATAACATTCCATTAATGATAAAATCATTTACAAAGGAAAAGAGGACAAATTGTCCTCAAGAAAACTCAATAAACAAACAAAACCGAGAATAAATGGGGACAGGTCTGAAACTTACAATTTTGTTGAACTTCTCAATTGTCATCAATGGTATAGTACCCAGGGGGATAATATTCCTTGTTCCCTCACTCTTGGGGAAAAAAAAAAGGAAACAGAAAAGTTACTCAAAACAAATAAAGGATAAAAATGAAACACACACCCAAAGAAGCATAAAAACACAATTACTTTCAGTACATTTGAGTGATACGGCTATATTAGTTGAGTTCTTCCACACCACAGACAACACACGGGCGGAGAATTCAGTCAAAACTAAGCAAGAATACATGCAAAAGAGGACATAAGCATGTGAAAGAACTATCAAACACTATATGGTTCTAATGCCAAAAGGACGTATATATATTGGCTCTCGTACAACAGTTATCATAAAAGAGACAAAGAGGCAGAACAACCTCTCCTCGTATCCATAAGTCTTGTCCTCCATGTGTGTGTGTGTCTGTATATATGTTCGCATGTATGTGCGGTGTGGAAAGGCGTGTGCCACTGTGCATAATAATTTAGCTACAGCATAGCAGAACAAAAAAGACGATAAAATACAAAGGGCTGCATTTTATAGCTTGCAAGTTCCTGCCATTGAATGATCACTAAACATGTTGCTTTTATGAGCCATTGAATGATCACTAAACATGTTGCATACATCACTTACCAGAAAAAGAAGTCGATAATTGGTTACTAGCAAAGTACCTGCCTCATCAGTGTTAACGAGAACAACACCATAACCCTGAAAGTAAATGTTGAAATCACTGTTTATGATCTCAAAAATACATATGTACAAGGAAATAACTGTTAAATACTTATATAATTAATAATATAAGATCTTCAACAAACCCCAGGACAGAGGAAAAAGAATATCATCTCAACCAAGAAATGTATCTCACACATATTCTAAACTCCTAATCAGTTTTGATCTTGCACGACCGATCTCTACCAAAAAATCGAAATTTTCACAAACCAGTTAAACTAGTTGTAGTTTGCTTCCATTGACTACTAAGATAACATCTCATAAATGATTTTATTATCTGGGCTTCACTACACCCACGTTAGGAATTCCAATAAGAGCGAAATGAAAACACGAAATACACTAAGCAACTTTAAGATTTAGATGAACCAGCCGATATGATACTCTTTCTCATCTCCTCATAATTGCTCTCAAACACTTAATGGATGGCCTAGTCAATTCCATTTAGAACCAACAACCTTCAAGGAGGCTTAGTTATCAAGTCTACAGACATCCATACTTTATGGTCTTCACCATATCAGAGATTCACCACATTGTTATTCTACTAACTCACTTGCATCTTATCAACATGGCATAACCTAATTTGATGTAAAGTCTACACTACAATACAACCTATCCAACAACGAATTTTCTGTATCCATAGTTTACACACGATTGAAACTATTACAAAAGACGGTCAACTCAACAACAAAAGAAATTCACCAAAAAAAAAAAAGAAAGAAAGAAAGAACAAACAAGCAAGCTGAATTCTCTAAGTACCTCCACTATGACTTGCTCTGCCTCAATCAAGAACTCCAAATTCGTATACGAAATTGACCGCGAAACCGGCTGCAACAAACACAAAAACAGAAAATGAAAATTTTTTCTTTCTCTCTCAATTCTCATTCATGTCGAAAATGACTGATTAGGAAACCCTAGAAGATAGAGAGAGAGAGGAAAAAAAAAAGAAAAAGAAAAGAAAAACCTCAATCTTGGTCCATTCGAGGGCGTCCCAGCTACCGGTGCCCTCCATTCTCTCGGAGGAGGAGTCTCTGAGAGGCATGGATCGGTCGGAGCGTGATTTCGGCGCGGTCATAAGCGGCGAACCGACTCTCTCCGAGCTTTTCACAGAGAATCTGTGATAGGAGAGAGAGAGAGAGAGAGAGAGAAAACCAAATGAGGAGAGAGAAATAAAGAAATGGGTTTTGGTTTGTTATGTATTGTCGTGGAATGGAAGAGGTTGCAACCAACCTGCCGTTCAAAGGGGTGTTCCTGCTCTGCGCCTCACACGCGATTCCTTGCGTTTACGCTGCACCACGTCACTCGACCTCAACAATAAACTAATCATTATCTGTTTTTTTTTTTTTTTTTAAGTTTTTTGTATAGCACATTATCTACTCCATACCATTGAGCAATTTTTTTAAATCAGTTTTCTAATCCCATCAGCCAAAAAAGAAAAAAACAAAAAAAAAAAAACTTTTTTTTGCTATGAAAAAAAAAGGCTGGAATCTTCCGAGCTACCGAGTGTCCACCTGTTTAAGGGTTATTAAAATGAAAAATATATTTATTAGGGTCTTTTATGTAAGTTTTCTTTTCAAATTATAACGAAGTACCACGATTTATAGAGCTGTGCAGAATTGAAGACATCCGGAGCCGCATAGTAACGCTTTTTTTTTCAAGGTTAAGTTATATTTTAAAACACAAAAATATAAATATTAGTGTTGACACAAATGATCTCACAATACAAATATAATTTGACTCCGACTATTAACTGGTTCCACTACTTACAGGGAAAATAGTAAGGGAGGAAAACGTGCATTGAGCTCCTACAACGGAAAGTTAGTACGGAAAATGAACACACATATAGCACTTTAAAAACACCCATCTGCAATCGATAGACAACTCTAATCAATGAGTCTAAGATACTTATAGACTAAAGATCAACCATAACACCGCTGAGAAACACCTCAAACGAATAGAACATAACAAAATAATTACCGGCAGAGAAACTACCTCTACTATTAGGGTCTTATTTGGAGAATAAAAAAAGAAGAATGTAAAGGAAGACAAAAAAGAAAAAGAGTGGGAAAGAGGATAGAAAGTATTAAAACAAAAACCCCCCACTTACGAAATGTTTTACATAAGATTTAAAAGAAATTTTGACACAAAAAAATCTCTAGTGTGCAGGTTTCGTTTGGATTTTTTTTTTTATGAAAACTCGGCGGTGGTCACAATTCTCTTGCGGTGACTCTGCTCAATTCCAGGTTTTTTAGCTTTTGTACCATGGTGGTTGGCTTGTCGCCAATGTTTCAGTCATTCATAGTTTTCTTAGTGCTTAGTTAATTTTAATAAAAACATTGTTATTTTTGTCATGTTTATGTATTATAATAACGATATGGTTTTTCCACATTCTGATTTTCTTTGTGTGTCACACACGTCTGAGCTGGTCATTAAAGGTGTGTGTGTTCGTTTACGACTAGATTTGTTTCTAGGCCGCGTTACTTGTGTCCTCAGTATTTAATGTTTGGTCTTGGTCGACTGGTTTTATCCATTGATTGTGATCCTACTTAATTTTTTTTTGTCAACTGTGATCTTTACACATATTTCTTTTAAAAATAAATAACAATACATAAAAGAGTCAAAGCTTTTTTCTGACAGCCCCTCCACTAACTTTTCTTTCCTTTTTATTTTTTTGTGAATTTTTACATTTTAATTTTTTGTGTTTTTTAAAAATTTATTGTTCCCCACTTTACTCTTATAAAAGTAATTTTTTTCGCATGTATTCCTATTTCAATTTTGATTGGTCAAAATAATTTTCTTCAAATGTGTTCTTACTTAATTTTTTTTGTCAATTGTGGTCTTTACGCATATTTCTTTTTAAAATAATTTAAAAAATTCTTAAATAATTATATAAATGAATTTCTCATTATTCGGTAAATAATAAACTTTTTAATTGTCTTCAACACGGTATTATATGTGGAGTACGTTAAAAACTAGTAGGATAAAAAAAAAGAACGGAAAAAGAGGGACAAAAGAATAAAGAAGAGAGGAAAAGGGGGAAAAGTGAAAGAAAAATAAAAAAGAAGATGGAATGTGAAAAAAAAAAACAAAAAAACAAAAACTCCAACAAAACGTTTAGTTGGAAGTGAATGAGAAACTCATTATCCTTTAGTATACGTGTATAGATATGGATATAGATAGATAGACGTACAGATTCACACCATTTTTCTTATAATTTGTGGGTCATTGCTATTTTATTCACAAATTTAAAAACTCTTTCTTTGTCAGTTTTTTTTTTTTTTTTTTTTTTTGGCTGAAGTCTTTTACTTTGCCACTTTTTTAAGTGGCATACGTATTAATTCTGTTTCAAAAAATTCAAAAAGACGAAGTGAGAATGAAGTAGGAAAGATTGAAAAGTAAAAAGAAAAGTGGTGACAATAATTCTGAAAATAATAATCCCATCACATTAAAGTGTTCACACTCAAAGAACATACAATTAAAATGTAATTAATGTCTAAAAAAAAATACACTTCTTCTGTTGGTGGGACAAGACAACGTGTCCTAAGGTAGAATTTTAAGTTTCATTTTATTTTTATTAGTTCTCTTTTGCTCTCAATTCTCGTGAGTACTCATCTCTCTCATTTTATACTCAAAAAGAGTTTATTTTAATATTTTTTTCGTTGAAAATCTAGTTTCCATCTCAAAACCACATGTCATTATTTTTTGTTTAAAAGTCTAAAAGGCGACGTTCTTATTATTTAATGCAGGAACAAACAAAGACAATGCTTTATTGATGATTTGTTGATCTTAAGAATCTTGGATATTCGGGGAAAACATAGGAAAGCTCCTTGTGTTATTACAATTCAGACCTCGTTCATTTCACCGATTTGAATTTTTAATTTTAAGTTTTTACAGTAAAAAGTTCTCAGAAAGTGTTACATCTAACTTTTTCTGCTACAGTGAAAAGATCTCAAAAAATGTCACATCTCAACCTAAATTAAAAATTTGAATCCGCAAAGTGAATGAGACCTCAATGATTTTCCTCTTTGCCCGAGTGAATTAAAGTCAACACTGACGGTGTAACGACGAATGGTTGACCGATCATGCTTCGTGTGGTAGAGTTTTATGCACTTATTAAGGGATGCTCCATACGTCCTATTCGTATAACTTGTGAAGCTGAATTAATTGGCATTATCAGCTGGAATTACATCTGGTTTGAGTGTGAATTGATTTGACGTAGTTGAACTTTTAAAGTCTCCCAACCTTTTACAGCTGGAATATACTTGATTAAGAAATGCTAGTATCACTTTTTTATCACTCTCATTGTTGTTTGACACGTGAACTATACTAACATGATATATTATTATGTAAACAAAAAATGAGATAATAAAATTTACATGTCAAACAATGAATGCATAAAATAACAAAGATAGTGAAAAAAAAATCATGTTAGCGTTTTTCCTGCTTGGCTCTATGGATTTTCAAGTCTTATCACATTCACATTTTCAAGTCCTCTAGAAAAATATTGCATCACAGCCACCACAATTGCATAACGTAGTACGAGGGAAACCGTGAATCAAATTTCACATTGTAGTATAAATTTCCACGGTTGCATGCTTAGGCTTAAGCAGATGAAAATTCTACGCCACCTCTAATATTTTTGAAGGAGCTTTCTTTGAATTTAGATCCGGGTCAAAATCGAATTATACAATATAGCACCCATATATTAAGAAGAAGTGAAACCACCAGAATTTAAATTTAGGATCACACAAGCATGCACTCAACTAGTTAAGCTAGCCTCAAGTAAAATCTCATAAAAAAAAAAAAAAAAAAAAAAAAAAAAAAAAAAAAAAAAAAAAAAAAAACTCATGCAAAGTTGACAAAGTCGGATTCAAATCCAATTGTTTAAAACAAAGTTCTACTTCATTTCCTACCGTAGAAATCTCTATGCTTAAATCCCGCTAACCCAGAGTAAACAAAACAAAAAACAACAAAAACAAAAACAAACACAAACACAAAAACGGAAAAACAAGAGAGACCATATAGAATCCTGCAGCACTAATATGCGGCCACATGATAGTTTTTTGGACCAAATGAACTGAAATCTCCCATAAGATTTGAACCCTAAAGAGCCTCGTAAGAAGGAAAGGGAACAGAAACAGTGCATGAGCTACAAGAGAAGGCTAGCATCACAATAAAAGAACTGTTTGAACATCTGTTTAGCTAGTTTGGGCAAAGGAACCCGACTATACTACACATTAACGATGAAAAATATCCTCATGCACACCATAAATAAACGAATAAACAATACGTATCTTGCCAACTATAGGAGTTTGTAAGAACATTTTGCAATATGATGAAGCACGACATATGAAAGGGGAAAAAAAAAAGGCAAAAACAAAAAACACCACAAAACAAGAGAACATGTTCAAATATCTGTTGTTGGACAATGCTAACGGCGCGATGCTCATAATTGAACTGCTAATGCACCAGGTAAGCCCATATGGGCGGAATCTTGAATCGGATATAAGTATAGAAACATATACGCTTCAGTTACAACACGGCATAAAGCTCACCAAGAATAAAGTTACAGACAGCTACCCAGAAAGAAAGATGTGCGACCCTCTACAGGTCTTCTATCTATGAATATAAATAGTACTTTCATATAGTAACTTTACAACAACTACACAAGAGTATAGCTAATAATAACCCCTCTGGGTGCAACGGCTTAACTTGAAAAGGCAAACAAGGATTTTATGAAGGAGAGTAGGTCCGGTGGCTAGAAATTCTCACTAGAAAGAAAAGAATTAGCAGCTAAACCAATACCTTTTTTGTCATCAAGAATGCGTAGTGCCCTGAGTAGACTGTTTTCTTCTCTTCACTACCGAGCAACCATTGATATCGTCGGGTAGGATTGAAAAGGTCATGGACTAGCAAAATAGCAGGGCTGTTTCCCAACACAACTGTAGCCAGTCTCAATATCAGAACTCACGTGGTAATTACCATAAGCAAAAAGTAACATCATCCATCCAGATCCAAGTACTCATCATATATCCTACTGCTTGCACACTCTAACAGAGCCTTAGCATTGATTTCTCTACCAAATCTCCAGATGTAATTCAGACCAATGAGAAGCTCGGTAATCGTTGCTTCTGTTTTCTCTTGATTTGCGAAGTAAAGGGTTTGCACGAGCAGCACATTTGCTCTTGAAACCATGTTCTGCTGTTCAAAACTCCGCTCAGATTGCCATCTTATCGTATTATGAGCAAGAGGCGCCAACCATTCTAATATTGCCGCCATTGCCTCATTCCACTCTCTTGCAAGAACAGTATCATAACTTGCTGAGGCCAAGCTCTTGCTGTACGGCTTTAGCTTTGCCTTAAGGGCACTTCTCACACTTGAAGGCAGCATATTGTACAGGTCATCTCTCGCATCAAGTCCAATCAAGTGAGGTGAAGCTGCTAGCTTCTCAATGACAACAACAACATTTGCATAGTGAAGTGCCAAAGCAGCGGCACCAAGGGTCTCAGGTGGCGCAACCAACAGCTTACCCTTGAAAATAGAACTTGATGGATTAAGATGCACGACGTTGCCAGGCATAAGTGGGTCTGCGTTGGCATCGATGACTCCATTGAGAATTCTTGAATGAACTCCATTTGAACTCAAATGACAATCGGTCATAGGAGAACTGATTCCAGCCATCATGCAACCTTTAAAAGGTCCCACTTGAGTCATTCTATTAGATTTCATGTGTGATTTCTTGGACTGTGAGCGGTCATGAGACTGCCACATCTTCTTGGTGTATTTATTCATTGACTTTCCAAGTGGACCTGAATTAAAAACATTTCTATTTTTCCCGGAAACAGGACCCGATTTCGTACTTGAGGCACCAACACTCAGAGGCCCAGAATAGAAATTATTGGTTTTGTTTGGTTTTGAAATCGGCCCTGATTTAGCCGCAAACTTCCCAAGGGGACCAGATGCAAATCTAGGAAGACCCTTCTCAGATTGATGACGTGAAGATCGCAGAAGTGCAGAAACTGACTGGCTTCGATAAATATGATCTGAGTCTATAACCCTAGAATCTTCGTATTCGCCAATATTTTGTGGAACTCCAAAGACATGGTTGACCCTACTGAATATCGTAAAGAGAGAACGTGCCAAGAGAAGAACTGTGTAGTCGTAAGTCCTGTTCCACAGTGAGATATCTTTCAAATTCTTCACCTCGTGCTGCTTCCATGTGACCTTCTTCTGAAACTCGAGAAAACTGGCTACATCGTGGTCATCATTACCCTTCATTCTCCTCAAGGTCTGCTCAAGATCTGCAAGCACTTCCATCTCCTGATACAAATTTGAATTCAGTGCAATAAATTTTTCCATCTTTTTAGCTTTCTTTTCCATTTTCTTCCATGTAAACACCCAACCATTCGGATCAACACCAAATTTCATCCATTCGTTGAAAGCTTGCTCAAAACTCTTCAAAGTGGGATCAGTGCATTTCTGTCCAAGTCTGGCCACAGAGTTTACCACATGGAATGTGTTATCAATCAATTCAGCACATATTAATCTCCCGATGTACTCATCGTCATCCGACACCAGTTTCTTTATACCAACCGAGTTTGCAATCTCTTCTCTTAACCTAGAAACCTGCTTTTCGGTCAGGGAGTGCCATAAATGGTTCAGCTTGGACATCAAACTTGCAACTTCAAACGCCAAAACTCCAATAACCGCTTTTTCAAAAGCAGCCTCATGCTTTTTGTGAGTCTTCCAAAGGCTGCGAAACCACGACTCCGCAACCATCTCTTCTTACTAATATGATCTCTAAGCAACACTCATCGTCAAAGATAAACTAAGATTTCAGCCGACAAAAAAGACTGAAAAAGGCACCTGCAGAATGAACAATTAGTTACCAATACAATCCCAGAAGATAGCTAAGTTAACAAATGGAAAACTAAGAAGAGTTTAATTCGGATCATTTTTCCATTCCTGCATTAAGAAGTCAGAAATTATAATGCAGAATATCCCAACCTACTTCTAGAAATTAAACTGAATTCAAATTTTAAGTTTCCTTCGTCTTTCTCTTTCTTTTTGACTGAAAAAACAACAGATTTTCTTCTCAGACAGGAAACTGAGAACTAAATTCAGAAGAATACGCATCTAACGGCAAATAATTCACAACAAAATATGCTGAAACCATAAACGAATATGAGGGGAAAAAAAAACTTAAAAACCTAAAATTCCCCTCATACAAATCGGTCTAATTTCCTAAATCGCTTAACACTACATCAGAATCAGACAACTTGACAAACTAAAAATCTCAAACCTACATTCATACAACAGGTTATTCCTTCCAATCATGCGCAAAATTTTCCCGGAAAATTACCGAAAAAAAAATCACGAAAAGAAAATAAACGCAAACAAAATTGGTAAAGAATAACGAGAAAATAATCGAAACAATTAGAAGACTCACCGATCAAGCGAAGCGCAACTACCTCAGGTATCTTCCTAGCACGAAAATGGAAAATGGGAAGTTAGAGAGAGAAAGTAAGGGAGAGAGAGAGAGAGAGAGAGAGAGAGAGGAAATAGCTGGGAAGTTTCAGTGGTAACTTGGGCCACATGGAGAAAAGAGGACTTGCAGAAGAAAATAGTAGAATGAATGAGCTGAAAAGCGAGTGAAATTAAAAGAAGATTTGACACAAGTGATTTAAATGTCTACTTTTTTTTTTGCATTTTTCGTCCTTTGATTTTCTTATATTGGCCAACTGTCCCTCTGGCTAAGTCCTTTTGCCATCTTTGTCCTCTTGCACTTTTCTTCCCCTCCTTGAACTCTTTCCTTTTCGTGAAAGACTTTTCTCTCTTTTCTCAAGCCTTTTATTTTATCGTTTGTTTTATTTTTCTTGTTTTGGCTTTTTTGCTGGTTATATGACCTAAATTCACTGAACTTTTTAAAAAAATAATAATAATAACTAAAAGATTATACCCCTCAAAGAAAGTTGCTTTTGTATTACCTTTGTTGACTCTCAAAAGACATGGATCTAATATCTTTTTCCTTTTTTTTTTATCGGCGAAAGAAACATGCAAAAATAGATTAAGAATATGTTTAGTGGGAGAATTTAAACAATGATTTGAATTATAATTTATAATTTTTTACAGCATTTTCTCTCATAAAAAATACATATAAATTAAAAATAATTTTAATCACATGATTCTAATTCATGAACCAAACATCTTATAATATTCGAACATATATACCCAACATATTTTGATATACGGTAAAGATTTCGTAACAAATGGTATACGTTATTCTAACTTTTAAATAAATATCTTTGGCCCACTAATTTTTGGAAAGATGGTTGCAACAATTTTTTTTCTACGCCAATCCCATCTAGAGAAAAAAAAAATCATTAGTTGTTGTCAAATTTTGTTTTTTTTTAATCTAATAAATAGTATATTAGGATATGTATTTTTTTTCCCTTCAAATCTAGTCCAAATATTCTCAATGAACAAGCACCCCACTAGCATGCTAACCAATACCCCGTCATGCTCTACATTACGATAATGAAAAATAATTGGAATTTGCAACAACTTTGAAAAAAAAAATTTCTCTCTCTTTGCTAAATATTTTCTCATTTTAGACTATGATTTGAAATGTGAACATAACAATAAAACCCAAGGTTGAGCACTCAATTGCAAAAATAAGAAATGGAAAAGATCCGTCGCAATCATTTATGGCGACCACGCGGAAACTTGTCGTTTTACGCATTTAATCCTCATCAGCCATCAGACGCCAACGTATTCGGGTCGGGTCAAACCGTACTTTCTAAAACAATGCACACGTGAAACACACGGTAAATAAAAGCCACCAAATGAAGACTCGAGGATCCAAAAAAATATTGCAATATGCAACTTTTGTTTGGCAAGTGCTTATGTGCATTCTTTTTCTTTTTTCATGGCATGTTTACTTATCAAGAGTGGAAAATAGGAATTGAGAATCGAAATTAATCTCATGTTTACTTATCCATTTTTATCTTGAAATGGATAGTATAAATGTGTGGGTCCTACACCAATTTGAGGTTGAGGAATGAGATTGGCACTCTCCCCACCCCCCATCGATTGGCACTCCCCCCACCCCCATCGGATTGACACTCTCAATCCTGATAGTAAATGTGAATTACGATTTTACCCTTAATTCTACTAACAAATTTGTGAATAAAAAGTAAAAAGTAAAAAATTAAAAAAAATCTCTCTCTATGCTCTCAACGGCCAAGCTGCTAATCCTAAAGACATTTCAAGACCAATTGAAATAATATGCTTTGATCAGTAGTTTGTATTTTTAATTTTCGTTTTTGCTTTCATGGTAACTGATATACACTATGCTCTGTTTTAATTTAATTAATTTTATTTTATTTCCTTTTGCTAATCACAATACCTTGTTGCAAAAATACAGGTCTGTACCTCTTTTTTTATTTCTTTTTTTTTATGAGAAAGTCTATTCATGTTGCTTGTAGAGTGACAATTAAGTATCGGAGTCCTTTCAAAAAACAATAAATAAATAAAAAGTCAACTATTTAGATTGACAAAGGAGAGAGTGAAATTGAATAGAGGAATGAGAAGAAAATACTAGAAAGAGAGAAATAGAAATATAAGTCAGAGTAGAGAGAGTTTTTTTTTTTTTTTGGTGAAAGAAAGATAATTAATTAAAGACAGAGGGTTGATTTTATTTCTTGATAAAGAAAAATCAATTAATTATCGAAGTCTTTTTTTGTTAAAAAAATTAACTGAATACTACCTTTTTAACCATATATATATATATATATATATATATTTTTTTAACCATTAATACCTTTTATTTTATTTCAATATATATATATACATGATTAATCATTTGTTTTTATTTTATTTTATCATTATATTTTGTTTCTTTAAATTATTTCAAAAGTTGTTGAGAAAAAATAATTTACATGATTAATTAGGTGTGACTAAAAAAATATAATTATTAATTAGTTATCCTAATTTAATATAGTTAGCATAATATACAATTTTTTTTAAAGTTCAACACACAAAAATCTACTAAAAGGGTATGTATGTAAATTTATAACAGTTTATTCTGATTATGGGTGTAAATAAATGCATGAATGAGATTAAGACTGATTCTAACTCTGAAACCTAGAAAGTAAACAACTTATTCTAACTCCGATCCATGTCTGCTTCGAATCTTGTCCACTTCAATTCATGTCCACTCCGATTACGGATTAGTAAACATGCCACCAATGTAATGTGTTCCTTTCATTAAAAAATAATAAAAAGAGTAGTTGTTCTTTTTTGATGAAAAAAAAAGTTAGTTCTTCTTAAACATCGAGGGATAGATACAAACACATAATATAAATGTGCTCAATCCCGTTAAAAATAAACTCAAAACTGTTCTTATTTCAGATTAGATTGCTTAATTCAACGATTAAAACACATATGCTCATTATTTTTTATCGGTAACAATATTTTTAATCCTTCTCTTTACTTTTTAGTCTAAATAATTCTTTTAATAGGGAATGTCTAACTGTAAACTGCTTAATATTTTTTTTAAAGCACCTAATATTTTTATAAAATCATAAAACATCTAAAAGTCAGTACCCTAATATTTTTATAATAATAAAACCTCTTGTTAGTACTCTGTGTTTTTAATAAAATTTAAACAGTACTTTCACATTTAAAAAAATATTATTTCAGTATTCTTATATTAATTTTTAAAACATACAACATCTAAACTGTCATTTTCATTAATCAAATAGAAACTAATAACTTCAAAAAACATTTTACTTATTCTAATTTTTTACTTTTTAAATATTTTAAAGTATTTTTTGAATTGTTTAGAAAAATATTAATTTGTTCTTAATTAGTGAGAATCATAAAATAAATATTTTATATCTTAATTATTAGTTTAGGGTATTAAAAAAATGTTAGGTTATTTGGTTGTTAGATTCATGTCATGATTCGAATCATGGTTTGTGGTTCGTTACAATATTTTTTCTCATAAAAAAACGCATGTAAATCAAAAATAATTCTGAATCATAATTCTAAATCTATCAATTAAGGTGTCATTTTTAAAATTATTAAAAATATTAGGACACTAGTGAAATGTTTCGTCATAAGAGAGGTACTAAAATAGTTTTATCATTTAATAATTTTAGTTAATAAGTTGTTTTTGCCACGGGGATTACGACCTACAAAATAATATTATATTTTAAATTATATGTCGTATTCTGTCATAAAGAACGAAGAGAGATTGGATTCATCTAGACAAATCAACTGCAGACTGCTGGCTGATACAAATTTCTACTTTACATCATTACATGTCATGTTTAGTTTACAGTCGGCGCACGTATCCTTTTCAATCTAGTCCTCGGCATTATCTAATGGTTTTGTTTTTATTTTTATATTTTTAACTAATTTAAATTCTATCCTCAGTAGTATATAAAAAAAAAAGAGTGTGGAGCCATTAAAATCTATCTGCCTGTAATAAAAATAAGTTTTTTATGAGATGTTTGGTTCATATATTTAAAATTATTATTCATAATTATTATTTATTTATGTATATTTTTTATAAGAAAAAATATTATAATAAATCATAAATTATGATTTAAATTAGGATACGAATCTACTAACTAAACGCATTCTTAGACATTCTAAAACATTAAAAAAAAGTCAAATTCTTAAAAGCAAACGTGATTTTTTTTAAGGGTAGATCATCAGTCACTCTATTTCTATTAATCATATTTTTAAAAGTAGTTCTCATCTTACTTTGATCTCGATATATTTCTGAAAACATTTCAATCCATTCTCCAGAAAATTTTAAGAACTCGTTTAATTTGTTAATTTAAATTTTTAATTTAAATTGAGATGTAATTTTATATGAGAATTTTTTTACTGTAATAAAAAATTAAATTTAATTATTTTTTAGAGTTTTTTACTGTAACAAAACTCAAATTTTAAATTTAAATCGTGAAATGAACTAAACCTAAAAATAAATTTCTTAGACATTCTAAAACATTAAAAAAAAAGTCAAATTCTTAAAAGCAATCGTGATTTTTTTTGAAGGGTAGATCATCAGTCACTCTATTTCTATTAATCATATTTTTAAAAGTAGTTCTCATCTTACTTTGATCTCGATATATTTCTGAAAACATTTCAATCCATTCTCAGAAAATTTTAAGAACTCGTTTAATTTGTTGATTTAAATTTTTAATTTGAATTAAGATGTAATTTTATATGAGAATTTTTTATTGTAATAAAAAATTAAATTTAATTATTTTTTAGAATTTTTTATTGTAACAAAACTCAAATTTTAAACTTAAATCGTGAAATGAACGGGACCTAAAAATAAATTTCTTAGACATTCTAAAACATTAAAAAAAAGTCAAATTCTTAAAAGCAAACGTGATTTTTTTGAAGGGTAGATCATCAGTCACTCTATTTCTATTAATCATATTTTTAAAAGTAGTTCTCATCTTACTTTGATCCCGAATATTTCTGAAAACATTTCAATCCATTCTCCATAAAATTTTAAGAACTCGTTTAATTCGTTGATTTAAATTTTTAATTTGAGTTGATATGTGATTTTATATGAAAATTTTTTACTGTAATAAAAAAGTTAGATGTGATTATTTTTTAGAGTTTTTTACTGTAACAAAACTC